TCTGCAGCTTGATGTTGCTGTTTCAGCTAGGACCCCAAAACACTCATGATGTTGCCATGAAGATTAAAATAAATGACCTCCAATGATGAGCCAAATCAGATATTTTTTTCAAAGTTAAACCCAGAAAAAATACAATATTAACACATATTCTGTTATAATCTTCCTTTAATTTAAAAATAAAACTTGAGTTTTTACAGATCAGTTTCAGTGAGAGTAGAAGTACCTTCTCTTGTCATTCTCTGTTTCAAACCGATCTGATCATTTATGTCAGATTGAAAGTAAGAAATACACATCTGCTGCTAAATTTCAAAATTAAGTCTTTTAATAAATGGCTATTCAAAAAAGACTATTTTTAAAATATAATATAGCCTATGGGAACTTTCTTCTTGACTGCTGTGACATTAAAATGTGAACAGTTTTTTTATATTTGTGTTTTTTCTAAAAGAATGCGACCAAAGTTTAAAAATAAAAACTATCATTTAATGTACCTCAGTGGGGAAGCAGATAATCTACTGGGTTTTTTCCCCCTCCATTTCCGACCAATTCCGACGTAAATACGAACCGGAAATTGACTTTTACTTTGAAAGCGTCTCGGAAGCCATGCGACTGCCTACGCACAACAATACCACTAGGGGGCGGGCTTGACCTCAGGATGATCCTGATAGAGTCAGAGAAGAGCTTACTGGGAGTTTTTAGTCTTTCTTTTCCCGTTTATTGGGATCACACCGCTAGAATTGACTTCTTTCATGGACTCCTGGAGGAGGATCTTAGTAATAGTTCTTGTTTTTGCTGTTAGGATATAAAAGCCTCAAAGGAACCACAAGTAAACTTGCCTTCTGAAAGCAAATTTCTCTATTGGAAAAATCTAGAACAAAAAGATCCTAACTTTTAAAAATTGAGCTTTTGTCTTAGAGCTTTATGGGTGTGAAGTAAAAATTTTAAGTTAGATTCTTGATCTTAGAGAAAGTTAATGAAATGATGAAAAAAAAAAGATCTATCTCATCTGGTTCAGGATAGTATACAATGCCACAGTTGCCACCTCCAAAATATTAGTGTTTTCTTTTCCTTAAAAGAAAAAAACGTACATTTCGCATGTTTTCACCTGTAATACCGTCCTTTATTCAGATCCAGGTCATGGGGTAGGCCTAGCAGCCTCCACCAGCTCCACAGGTGAGGCCCCTACCAGTTCCAGCCTGAAGATATAATCCCTCTAGCAAGAAATGAAGGTCAAGGTTTTGTAGCTAAGAGGACCCAATCATCTTCAAAAAGCACAGAGATCCTTCGGTCAGCAAAACAAGTTTTATGCGTTAATGTAACACATAAAGTTCATGTGGTTTTTGTTCCAAAACACACGGAAAAACTACAAGTATTTATCGTTATCATGTCACGTTTTCACTTGACTTTCACATGTGAGTTTTATGTTTATGTACTTTTTCTGCAAACTTTGATATGTTTCAAAATAACTGGAACAAAATCATTTCTGTATTATATATATATATATATATATATATATATATATATATATATATATATATATATATATATATATATATATATATATATATATATATATATATATCCCATCCACTTCATATATAGGCCAGAGAAAGAAATGACACCCAGAATGGTTACAAGTTAGACGTTAAGGGCCAATTCCAAATTATCTGAGCAAATTGAAAGTAATAGAGTACTCAGTTTTCCCACTATTTCTGATAAACTTGCAAATTATAAACCTGGAAGTGAAACCTTCCCCACAAAAGCTCTGTTAAAACTACGTAGCACAATGTAGGGCTTTCTGATTGTGTTTGGACTGATTGTGGTTGGATCTTTGTTCTGTGTGAAAATCTTCCATAAATGGGGCAAACTGGGACAGCAGTAGCTCAGGACGTATAGCGGGTTGTCCAGTAATCGGAAGGTTGCAGGTTCATCCCAGCTCCTGACAGGGAATTCTGCTGTTGTGTCCACTTAACCCACCTGGCCTGCTGGTGGTGGTCAGAGGAATCAATGGCGCCTGTGCTCGGCAGCCATGCCTCTGTCAATGCACCCCAGGACAGCTGTGGGCACATCATAGCTCATCATCACCAGGGTGTGAATGTGTGTGTGAATGGATGAATGACACACTGTACTGTAAAGTGCTTTGGAGTCCCCTGACTCTGAAAGGCGCTATACAAGCATGAGTCATTTATCATTTAAAATTCCCTTTGGGAATTTTCCTGTTGATCCCACTTGGTCTTTCTGAGCCTGTCTCCTGTCGTGTTTTCTTCTACTAATTTCAGAAGCTTTAGATTGTGAAAGAAGCAGATTGCATCAATATCTTTCAAAGACATTTTTGAGGACATGTTAGATGAAGCTTGTAGCGTCATGAATGGCCTCTAATTTGTGACAAAGGTCACATTTTCCCAGCTGGGTCAAGCTGGGTCGAACTGTAACTTTGCCCCACAGATTAACCTGCCAGGAGCCGTGATGTCTGCTGAAACACCATCTTTATCTGCTGCTGTTCCGTCCCAAGATGAAGGACACTTCAAGATTTTACAATAATAATTTTAAATGATGGTTTTAATAAACTCTCGACTTTATTACTGTTTATTACAACCACCATAAATAATCTCTTGGTTCAGTATAAATGTATTTAATTACTGAAATGACTTATTATGCTTTGGGGAATAATATAATTATTTATGATGATCCGTAATGTGTGTTCAGTAAACCAGAAGGTCATTTGCACGTTTAACCACCTCACGCAGAGAGTATCCAGGGTAAAGTTAAAACCACCTCACATGTCTTTATTTCATGACCTAGCTTTCTGACGCTGAGAGGGTGTGTTCTGAGGGTTTTGTTAAAACTAAATCCCGCAGCTGTAAGTCCAGTTCTTGAACCAAACCGAGACGAGGGATGGCCACCCAAATCTCTACTAAGCATTCTGTCACGCCGATAGACTTGCTTCGAACAGACACACCTGTAACCAGCTGACGTAAAACTCCTTCAGAGTTATTGATTTTGAGACGCAACCAGTTTCATCAGTCGTGTGACCCACGGAGACATCTCAGGACCGATTTGGTCGCACTAAGGTCTTTCTACCAACCTCGTGCCCGGAGGACATCATCTCCACCTGACATCTCAGATCCAGACGAGGGTCTCCTGATCTGGGTGAGGTAGACACTTTCGACAGATTGCGTCTGTATGCTGTTCTAAGAAACGACTCCATTAGCTGCAAAACCAACTTTTCACCCAGAACGCTTCTCTCTCTGAAAGAAACCTTCTGAGATTCATTCACGCATCCAAAAACCTCGCATTTCATTTAGTTTCCATTCAGTCACAGGTTTGCTTTTTAAAATAAGTTTTAATATCAAATTGTCAGTTAAAAATAGTCTTTTCTACATTGTCATTTTTTAAACGTGTTAGTAATAAATTCTTAACTTTAAAAACCTGACTCTTCTTTGAAATGAAACACAGAATGGTGTATATATATTTGGTTATTGAATAAGCAAAGATTCCTAACTTCTGATTCAATAAATGAACTTTTGCTATTAAATTTTATTATCTTAAATTAAACATTAATCTTTGGATTAAAATATAGATGAGACAGTTAGTGTATGAACTTGTATCAATTGCATGAATATCCTAGATATTGGTGCATAATATAAGTTTATATGCTAAACGTCCGATCTTTTCTTCAGAATCTAACAAAGCTGACAGCAAACAGCGTGAATTCTAGTATGTAGTTAAACACGCTACAAGCTTCTGCCATGTTTTTGTTCCTACTTATCTAAGCAGACTCAGTCTCACTTAAAGAGGAAGGAAACATCCTGTGAATGCCTAGATGAGTTCCTGTTTTGTTTGTTTTTACTTCATGATGAGTGTAAGTGGTTTTTAGAGTTTGTCCTGGGAATAAAAATGTGGAAACGATTGAGATGTGACTCAACAAGCAGCTGGGCCTCAGATCTGAGGGTCTCGTTTGCTTTTCACCCTGTTCGAGACACATCTGTAGGGTTTCCTGGCTCGGTGCAGGGTCCAGCCAGGCGCTGTTTCAGGAAATGATCCGTCAGGAGGAACGCCACGCCAGAACATTTCTGTTTTACCCTGGAAAGTCACAGATACTATCTCAATCTTTGTGCATTTGCACACATTGAAATATTTTCAAGTAATGGTCTGTCATCAGAGGCATTCCTAATGTTGCACTTGTGAGTTTTCTGTTTCACTAGAAAGTCTTAAAACTGTCTGTAAAACTGGAGTTTAACATAAATAAATCACATTAATTCTGTTTTTTCTTCTGTTGAGGAATGCCGTCCTCGTGTGTTCACTAGCAGGCTGAGACAAGTCGTTACACTAAAACAAGCTCTGTGCTGTTTTATGGTTATCTGGTCGGTTTGAGTCCATGGAGGTGTTGAGAAACCAGGTTCATCTCCCAACAGAGCTGGAAATCTAACTTTCACCTTTTCAGATTTAATCATCAGAGGTCGGGTCTATGGGATTCAGGAGATTTAAGGCACTCTAAACAGATTTCTTTGATCCCGTGTGTGTTTAACGGCTCTAACAAGAGAGCTGCGGTTATGAATCGGGTTGTAAATCAAATACATAGAGATGGGTCTTCATTTAAAAGGGACTGCATCTGATGGATCTGCTGTTTTCAAGTAAATTTTAAATAACAAGAACAGGACCCGGGTCTCTCTTCAGGTCTTGTCAGGTATGAAATGTGAATCTGAAAAATTCTAATCTGAGTTTAATGATTGATTTATTTCCCAGAATATGATATGAAAATAATTTCTAAAATTATTCAAAAACAAACTTACAAAGGTTGTCGTGTTTTTTTTTTGTTACACCAAACATTGGTTCCTAACCCTAAAAAACTTCATCCTTTACACTGAAGTGTTAAACCAAACAGGAGGAGAATTACCTGAATCGGACGCAGCTGGCTGAGACACCTGAGGAACATAAAGCTCAGAAAAAAACCTGAGATTTTTCTTCATCATAAATTATATAGCAATGATCAAATGTGGTCACACGGTTAAAGTGCACTTTATTTGTTGCAATACACCAACTTATTACATTCTCAGTCACAAATAACATTTAAAGCTGGTTTCCAAATAGGTTTGCATTTTAGGAGCAAGAAAATATAATTACATGAGTCACTTAAAGGACAAAAATATCCCATTAAAGGTGTTGAACACTGAAACACAATTTTTAATGATTATTTCTAATTATAATCACTTTGAGCGTTTCATGCAGGCTCCTACATCTGTCTCCTGCATTAGCTTCTGATAGAAAATAGACGGTGAAACTCTAGGATTAGAAAACCCTTACAGATCTACGTCACACTGTCACTTAACATTCATGGACTCACCCATCTTGACTCACGACGGGGAAGGCTGTTCTTGGTTTAGCGTCCAGGAAACAGCGGACGTCTCGGCTAGTAGAAGCTAACTCCACCACACAGCAGAACTCCTCTAGGCTTGAGTTATTTGTGGAGATAAAACATCAGTGTTGCAGAGTAAACGGAGTCAGTGGTAGGGTTGCGTTGCTGTTAGCCAATCAGAGGTGAGACGTCCAAATATCAAGAAATAAGGCTCCAAATCCTGCCGTCCGAAGCTACTTTGTCTTCCAGCTGAAATCTTCGTGCTAAAACAGGTGCTTCTGCCCCCCACCCCAACTTACAATAGGGACCACTGCAAATGTATTAATTAATTTCCCTCTGGGATTAATAAAGTATTTTTTAATCAAAGAAGTGTTCAACACCTTTAAATGTCTAGAAACACCAGTGCCGTAAACAGAAATGGAAAGCTCCTTTAAAATGACAATTTGGTTCTCTGAGGTGTGCAAAGGTTTTGATACTAAATGTACCTTTTAAAGTTTTCAAGTAAAACGTTATTTAAAAAAAAACATTATTTGGAGGACATCATTAGGCATTGGTATGTCCAAAACCAAATTCAACATAAAGTTATAATCTAAAAATAAATACAATTTTTCTTTAATTATGTTTGAAAAAGAAACCATTTTCTTTTTGCTGTCCAAGTCAGGCATCACAGGAATCCAGCTTTAGACAGAGCAACAAATCAGAAACGCCCACCATTTCTTTTTTAAAGATGTGAAACAGTTTGGTCTAACCAACAGTGTGCTCGTGTCTGCTCATTTCACCAGGACACTCATGTGTCTGAAGCTGTTATTAGGAGAAATAGTCATAATTTAAACTGAAACTTGTAATTTTGACACAGTACTTTTTTCTTTTAAGAAGCAACGGGCTTCCACACTGACCAATAAATGGTGACATTTGATGTTAAAAGTCAATCTGCTGGATTTCCTTAATAATTCTGTCAGAATAATCATGAAATATAAACCCTATGCTTATGTAAAGGTTCAAAAATAGCATTTGCACCAACAGATGTGACATTTTTGACTGGCCCCATTGTGACTATTTGGTAACTTGGCTGTTTGATCTGAACTGATCTCTGTTTCTCCAAACTGAGGCCAAAACATGTGTTAGCTACACTTGAAACTGGAGTCCAGTTTGTTTACTAAAGTTTGATCTACTTTTGTTCTCTGAATGGCCTCCTCCACCAAAGGAACTTGCACGTCATTCAACTTCACGCTGTTTTAAAAACAATAGAACAATAAAAAAAACGGCTCATGAGAGAACATTGAATACATTACACCCTATGAAACTGCAGCTCAACATTTCAGTTGTCACACTGAATTTATCAGAAAGGATAAAAATAAACCTAAAGTCTCTTCTACAGCAGCTGTGCAGATGTTGGTCTCTGTTCCTGAAACCAGTTCCACTCACCAAAGCTTCAGTCCGACATTTAATCTGTGTTGATTCCACAGATAGACAGACTCCTTACATCCTCCTTCACCGAGCCATTAGATGAGAATTTCACATGAGTCTATGGAGTTGAGGCTTCGCCGGGGGCCGAGGAGGAGCAGGAGGACTCGGTTTGATTCTAGGAATCAGCAGAGGGCTGGGTTTCACTGGTGGGACTGGTGGAAGACTCGGTTTAGATTCTTTACTCTGAAAAAGAAAAACAAGGTTTTTAAACATTAATTCAGGGGGATCAGGTCTGAATTCCCACTGAGAGGTGATCAAGTTAAAATATCAGCAGAAACTGAGTTTTTGTTCTAAGCAAACTTTATTTAAAAATGAGCTTTTATTCAATGTATTTGGGCGGCAAATAATCACTTTTCCTCAAATCACATTTTAAAGCCATTGAACACTCATTCAATCCATTAATTTGCAATGATCTCCAGTAGGATTGTTGAATGCCTTGTACGTCATACTCGGGGAAGGGGGGTAGCCCAGAAGCGCCTCTTTCTGCATGGAAACTTCAGCTAGAGGAGAAAGTAGCTTCAGACGACAGGATTTGGAGTCTTACTTCCTGATGTTTGGACATCTCACCACTGATTGGCTGACAGCTACAAGACTCTACCACTGACTCTGCAACACTGATCTTTTATCTCCATAAATAACACAAGCCTGAAGGAGTTCTGCTGTGTGGTGGAGTTGCTAATGCTAACAGTTAGCTCCAACTACTCGAGACGTTCTCTGCCATTTCCAGGACGCTAAACCAACAACAGCCTTCCCTGTCATGAGTCCAGGTGGGTGAGTCCATTAAGTGACAGTGTGATGCAGATCTGTCAGGATTTTCTAATCCTAGAGTTTCACCGTCTATTTCCTATCAGACGCTAATGCAGGAGATAGGTGTAGGAGACTATTTTTAATCTAATAATCAAAAATAATAATTTTAAAAAAGGGCTTTTCAGTTATCCACACCTTTAAAATATTCATACCTTTTCATTATTTTCTAACAAATTTAAACTTAATAAAACTGAAAGGTGATTTTATGGGCTGTAACTGCAAATATTTTATGTTGTGAGACCAGAGCTGATGAACCCTAATAAGAAGCATTTCTATCATGAGGCTCTAAAACACCAGATGTACAGGTGCTGGCCAGTAAATTAGAATATCATCAAAAGGTTGAAAATATTTCAGTAATTCCATTCAAAACGTGAAACTTGTACATTATATTCATGCAATGCACACAGACCAATGTATTTCCAATGTTTATTACGTTTAATTTTGATATTTATAGGTGACAACCAATGAAAACATCAAATCTGGTATCTCAGAAAATTAGAATATTCTAAAGGCCAATGAAAAAATGTTTGTTTCTCTAATGTTGGCCAACTGAAAAGAATGAACATGAAAAGAATGTGCATGTATAGCACTCAATACTTAGTCGGGGCTCCTTTTGCCTCAATAACTGCAGTAATGCGGCGTGGCATGGACTCGATCAGTCTGTGGCACTGCTCAGGTGTTATGAGAGCCCAGGTTGCTCTGATAGTCGTCTTCAGCTCCTCTGCATTGTTGGGTCTAGCGTATTGCATCCTCCGCTTCACAATACCCCATAGATTTTCTATGGGGTTAAGGTCAGGCGAGTTTGCGGGCCAATCAAGGACAGGGATACCATGGTCCTTGAACCAGGTGCTGGTGGTTTTGGCACTGTGTGCAGGTGCCAAGTCCTGTTGAAAGGTGAAGTCTGCATCCCCATAAAGTTGGTCAGCAGCAGGAAGCATGAAGTGCTCTAAAACTTCCTGGTAGACGGCTGCATTGACCCTGGACCTCAGGAAACAGAGTGGGCCAACACCGGCAGATGACATGGCACCCCACACCATCACTGACGGTGGAAACTTTACACTGGACCTCATGCAACGTGGATTCTGTGCTTCTCCGCTCTTCCTCCAGACTCTGGGTCCTTGATTTCCAAAGGAAATGCAGAACTTGCTTTCATCAGAAAACATAACTTTGGACCACTCAGCATCAGTCCAGTCCTTTTTGTCCTTGGCCCAGGCGAGACGCTTCTTGCGCTGTTTCTTGTTCAAGAGTGGCTTGACACACGGAATGCGACACCTGAATCCCATGTCTTTCATGAGTCTCCTCGTGGTGGTTCTTGAAGCGCTGACTCCAGCTGCAGTCCACTCTTTGTGGATCTCCCCCACATTTTTGAATGGGTTTGTCGTCACAATTCTCTGCAGGGTGCGGTTATCCCTAGAGCTTGTACACTTTTTTCTACCACATTTTTTCCGTCCCTTCGCCTGTCTGTTAATGTGCTTGGACACAGAGCTCTGCGAACAGCCAGCTTCTTTAGCAATCACCTTTTGTGTCTTGCCCTCCTTGTGCAAGGTGTCAATGATTGTCTTTTGGACAGCTGTTAAGTCAGAAGTCTTCCCCATGATTGTGGTGCCTTCAAAACAAGACTGAGGGACCTTTTAAAGGCCTTTGCAGGTGTTTTGAGTAAATCAGCTGATTAGAGTGGCAGCAGGTGTCTTCTATATTCAGCCTTTTCAGAATATTCTAATTTTTTGGGATACCAAATTTGGAGTTTTCATTAGTTGTCACTTATGAATATCAAATTTAAATGTAATGAACATTGGAAATACATTGGTCTGTGTGCATTGCATGAATATAATGTACAAGTTTCACGTTTTGAATGGAATTACTGAAATATCTTCAACCTTTTGATGATATTCTAATTTACTGGCCAGCACCTGTATATTATTCTTCTGTTGATGAACAAACAAAATAATTAATGACATTTAATTTTATCCATACAATATGAGGGTTCCTGACACGCAATGACTCTGAGTTTACCTAAAGAAAACTAAACATGTCACAACATTTAGAAAACGCAGAGAGAACCAGAAACACAAGAGAGGGGGTCAGACACTCACAGAGGAAACAGAAAACCATCATAAACATTATATTTAGACATTCTGGAAACTTCATACATTTTTTTTTTTGTAAATTATCATCATCAGCTGCAGCCCAGTGAAATTCTGGGTTATCTACTGATAATATCAATTAATTACTTCATCTGAAAATAAAGCCTTTGTTTCCTAATTATTTCTTCTCAATAACATGAAAAATCGAATTAGTAGCTCTTCTTTATTACAATTTGTGTTAAAGTTTTTTTTTTTTTTTTTTTTTTTTGATGAAGGCAGATAAAGGAACTCGAGGCATCATAAGCTGACAAAGTGATGATGGGTTTGTGACCATGGTCAGTTGTTGAATACATGAATAAATCTCACTGACCAACAATCTTTCTCTTTCTTATTCCAAAGTGAGTAAAAAGTCATTTGGAAACCAAAGCTTCCATGTTTTATTCAATTGGACTTTTTGGACGTCTGAGGAGATAATTATGAGGCTGAGGATCAGAATTAGAGCTGAGACTCTAAATCTGATCCTCAGTTTAAATTATACATGAAGATTAAAAGCAGATATCTTACCGACTCGGATTCGCAGGTGGATGCTAATGAAGTTGGTTTCCGAGGAGGCTGAAGAAGAACGATGTCCTGTTTTTGGTGTTTTGTAACTAACGGTGACCCAGTCTGAGGTGGAGCAGGTCTGCTGGGCACCACAGGGAGAACCAGAGGGCTGTTGATCAGAGACACTGTGGACTCCACCAGAGTGGGCTGGCCGATCTCAGGTCTTTCTTTGACACACGTTGCCTGGAACTTTGGGTTCAGCTTCCTGGGAGCAGATTTCTTTTTCCTGTTAACACATCTTTAATTAGCTCAGCGGTGAAAGACGAATATAACACCATCCAAACAGAGAAACCAAACCTTCTGGAGATGTAGCCCTTGATGTTGTTCTTTTTGCAGTACAGCAGCCCAACTATCAGCAGGAGGATCACCAGGAGGGTGGAGACAGCTGCACACACTCCAGCTACGTTCATACTCCGACCTGCAAACACACACAGGAAAAACATTCACACTCGAGAATTAAATTAAACACAAAACTGCATTCCTAGGGCAGCTCAGAGGAGGCTAACCGAACACAAGCATCAGTTCATGTGATGGCAGACGGAGCTCTTTTTATTTACACTCACAGATGGATTTAGATTGGACTTATAGGTCATTTTAAGCTACACTAACAACTGAGTCCCTGGAATATTGTAGTTGCTAAGATCATGTCTCTCTTTTTAATGCTATGTGATTTTTCATCATGACTAATCCGAACAATTAAAATCTTTTAATGATTTTAGAAGCCCTCTAAATGTTGTTGTCTGCTTAAATGAAACATTTAGATATAGTTCCATGCACAAATGTTGGTTTGTGCCTCAGAAAATCCTAAATGTTGCTTTACACGAAGCAACTATCTATATAGAGAGGGATTTTTATCGTACGACAAGATAAGGCTGAAAATGAATGAATGAACAAATGAAAATGACGATAAGAAAAGATTTTTCTCAGGCCTATGCATAGGCGTCATTTTAACCGGGGACGCATGTCCCCGGCAAAATTTGTGATTGGCAGCTGTGTCCCCCCCACTTTCAAAACGCCTGCATGTGCGTGCGTGTGTGTGTGTGTGTGTGTGTGTGTGTGTGTGTGTGTGTGTGTGTGTGTGTGTGTGTGTGTGTGTGTGTGTGTGTGTGTGTGTGTGTGTGTGTGTGTGTGTGTGTGTGTGTGTGTGTGTTTTCCACTTCAAACACTGGTCTAACCAACCAGACCAGTGTGTCCAGTAACACATTAATGTTACAATTAAACAGTTTCACTTCATGTAGGCTAGGAACGTTTCACCTGCCGTGGCCCGACCGCTTCTGCTCCACATAAACTTTGTGCGTGATCAAATGTCTCTACGCGTCATGCGTCTCCATATTAGAGACGGGAACAAGTGCTGTTCAGCCAAAGTTTCATAATTTCATAAAAAGAACATTTTTCCAAGTGACACATCCCTCAGAGAGACCGGATTTCCAGACTGTTTCAGTGGGAGGAAATCTTATCGCATGCACCGTGGTTCTGCACTGCGAACCCCAGATCTTCAGCTCACTGTCCACCGTGGGCGCTCCAAGCCGCGCTGAACACAGTGTCCAGTATAAAGCTCTGATGTTCTGATGGGAATATTTTACCTCCGCGATGTGCGTATTAAAATGTCAGCTCATCCATGCGCATCAGTGTGCGTCGGGGTAATTCTTTCAAACCAAGCAACATCCTTGAGTTCATCTGTCAAAATAAACAGTCAAATGGAAATATATGTAACCTGCCGTTTAACTGTTTTGCCTTCCTGTGAAGATTGTTGCAAAGAGAAACAATTAAACTTGATTAACCCCAGAGCCACCCAGAGAACCAGTGCGCATGCGGGAAGATTCCTCCCACTGAAGCGAGTGTTTTCCAAACCCTGTCTCTCAGAGAGACTTGTCACTTAGAAAATGTTCCCTGATTATGAAACTTTGGCTGAATAGTGCTTGTTCCTGTCTCCAATGTGGCGACACATCCAGAAGCCGTCTGAGGAGAATCCCAGAATCTCACATCCTCTTCAGCTCAGGAAGCGCCTATATGATTACGCACAAGCGTGACCCGTCAACCCGGTCTCACAGTAAGACCGGGTTGGACCTGTTCAGGTTTACGCAGACAATCTTTACATTTAGAATTGGCATACAGGTGTAAAATTAATGCAGTAAAATATAAAGCATTTTATTTAAATATCCATTCATTATTTTACAAGCACAGAGAGCCGCATCAGATGGATGGAAGAGCCGCATGCGGCTCCAGAGCCGCGAATTGCAGACCCCTGTGCTAGCCTACTTTATTGTCCCCAGCAATTTTTAAACCCCACTCAAGTTTATGGTTATTGTCCCCAGCAATTCTGAAAACAAACTGACGCCCTTGGGCCCATGTTAAAACAACAGATGTCATCAGATTTTAGATGACGGTGATCTCACAACTTTCTCTTTTGCAAATGCCAGTAAGTGAAATTAAAGCTTCTGGTTCCTCTTCAGGTGTTTGTTTCTGGGAGGAGAAAAGTTACACAATCGCAAAGCAAACTCAGGTTAGTGTGTGAGTTAAAGTTTAAACCCTTATTGCTGTGAGACATCTTTGATCTGAGTCATTAATGCGTTGGAGAAATGATTCATGTGACACGTTTCCGTCTCTGCTGATCAATACAGATGTTAGAGTCGACCCAAACAGCTGCTAAAACTAGTCAAAACTGCAATCAAATTGTTGTTTTTTTATTAAAATGAGTTTTCTGTACCTTTAGGTAAATCAGCATATTTGATTTCACAGTAAGGTGGAGCCCAGCCCGGATCACAGTGGCATTGATTCTTGTGATTACACACCTAAAGAAAAAACAAAACAAAACTGATTCGGCAGAAAGGCCTGAGAGTTCAGTAACAGCTTTAGCTTGAACAAAATAAAGCCTACTGCACACTGGAAGCATCAGCATTGCGGAACGTCACTGCTTCAAACAGAATGCATTAGAGTCTATGGGACTGATTCAAACCAGCTGCAACGCAGCAATTTTCAGGTGCGTACCAGAAGGGGCACACTGCGCCTCTAAAGATAGGATCGGATTGTATTTCTGCTGCGTGCCGCTTCTGGGACGCATCAATTTTTGCAACTAACATAGGCCTAGACAGGAAATCACACACGGTTTTCGTGTAAAATCACCAGCAATTTTCAAAATAAAAGTCTACTGCAGCGATGCGATTTCTTATCTATGTAGATTACATCAATACAAGTGAACTAACAGCTTATTTACTCCCAGTATTGTTTCAGAAGTACAGCAGAGTGTTTTTCACAGCTTTAATCCTGGCAGTGGAGAGGAACTACATCATTTATGACATCAAACAGTGAAATTAAGCGGGAATGTTCTTTTTTCTGGTTTAATGGCGGATGGCAAAAACGCAAGGCATTTTGTGATATTGCAAGTTAAGCGAGGAGGATGGCAGAAGTCTCAAGGAATTTTGTGATCTCGCGATTCGAGCGAGAAGCACAGCGGAGACGTCGCTCCACGGCTGAGACTGTCCCAGTGTGCACTGGAGTGCAGCGATTGTTAAGAGTAAACCTTTCCCTCGCCGTTCCGCGCTGCTGATGCTTCCAGTGTGCAGTAGGGGTATGAAGCTGGATTATATGAAAACATTAAAAAACCCTTTTAAAAGTAAACTTCCTGTTACAAATAAATTCATTTAACCTTAAAATGATCTCACCCCATTGTTGTTGCATTTCTTTGCACATTCTTCCTTCTTACCAAAAACTGAAACATCCACACATCTGTTGCCAAGACAAACCTGCACAAATGTTTTATCCACAGCAAAAATTAATAAACAAATAAATAAATAAATAAATACATAAATACATAAATAATGAAACGTTACTTTAGGTTTTACAACAGCAAGGTGCCTCAGTTATGAGGATTTTACCTTATTTGTTCCACATACAGTTCCTGATGGTACCATGTCGATGTTTCTGCTCTTATCATCCTCCACAGCCACTTTGCATTCCACACCAAACATGGTATATCCTGCACGTTTACCAGTTATCGACTCACCTCCTCCTGTGCAAAATATGGACCCACACTTCAGATTCCTGCAACAAAAAATGTAAACTTGTTGGTATTTCACAGCGTCCCTCTGTGCTGGTTATTTATAGACTAAGGTGTCTGTTGGGTTCAGTGTAAAAGCTGAAACATACGAGGAAGAACAGGGAATGAAGCGGGATTTGTTTCCACCACAGTTGGTTCCTTCCATACCCTGTCTGTTCAGGTTGAAACAAAAATCAGGCCCAATTTTGGCTCCTGTGAAATAAAATACAGAAAAGTTTCAATAGATCTTCTTTTTGTTGTAATTAGTCCATTATTGAAATAGTTCACTCATTAAATTAGCTGAATTTTTATTTTTAATGCCTTTTCCTAATTAACTGTACTGAACAAGATGATAAATAATAATGTAAATCTTGTCCATGGTTTGTTTGTAGTAGATCTGTATGAGTTACCATAACTACAAGTGAAATTTTCAATAAATCTGAGGGCTCAATTGGGGGCTCGTCCAGGATGCAAGTGTGATCTTTGGTAATATTTGGACAAAGCCAGCAATAAATGAACAAATAACTGACACATCAGATAAGTTATTTAAATAATCTGCTTTTTTCTTCTTTGGTTTAATCTTGGATAAAATGTTTCCTGCATACTTGATGAAGATTTGGCAGAATTAACTAAAAAAAATAAATAAAAATAAACCTACAGGTCAGTTGAAGGGAAAACACCGGACATAACTTTGGCTGTTAAACAGTCAGTTTCTTCTGTTTTTGTCATCATATTTAGACTGAGTTTGTATTACAGTAAACATTTTTTAGCAGACTGATAGCAGAGAATTTAACATACCGTCTCCAAACAGCCTCCAGCAGTGCTGATGCAGGCTGGGACATTGGCCGTCGTAGCAGAAACCTGACATGTGGTTGTAACAGCCTTTGCCGTTCATCTCAAAACTATCTTCTGGACAGTCCTGTGATTCTCCGGTGCAGTACTCAGGCAAGTCACAGTCCCCTGCAGAACCCCTGCACACTGTGCCCGAAGCTTTAAGCTGTTGGTGTAAGTCCAGTTCAAGATTTAAAGACAAACCTGGAAGTTTGACTCATTTTAATTTCCAGGAACAACATGGAGTACATAGGATGGTTTAGTGCAGGGGTATTCAATTCTGGGCCTGGAGGGCCGGTATCCTGCATGTTTTAGTTTTAACTCTGTTTCAACACACCTGATTTCAACAAGCAGGTAACTAACAGGCTTCTGCAGAGCTTGATGAGCTGCTGCACAGGTGACTGAACCACTGAATCAAGTGTGTTGCAACAGAGAAACCACTAAAACATGCTGAATACCAGCCCTCCGGGCCTAGAATTGAGTACCCTAGGTTTAGTGTATTAAAATGGATGTGTCCAATCTTTGAAGCTGAAGAAGGATGTAATAAACTACATCCTTCCTGGGATGATGGTAGCTTCTGTTTCCTGTTAATAAATGTCTGGTTTGAATAATGATGTTCAGACCCACAGGTTTGTTACATTAAGGTGGTTTTGCTGTCCAGGCTTGACAGTGCCATTTAACAAAATGTCTTCTGTAAAAGGTTTAGGTCCTCAATTTAGTTTGCACTCACTGACATTTAAAGAGTCAGTCACCCCCTACCAGAGTCTTACTCCACCCACATTTCCTTTGAAAAATGCACCACAAGGAGGCGTTGGCAGACTGAAAGGGCGAATCTGCAGCAGTGAGTGACACAGACTGCTACAATTTAAAATAGTGTAAAAATAATATTTCTGTTGAAAAGATTAAAAAAAGACTAATAAGCTAATGGCTTGTCCATGTGCAGCCAAGACATAAGTGTTGTTGACAGCTGAGATCTTCTTTCACAGGGGGTCATGTAACATTACAGGGTTGGGTAATATGATCATATTAGTACATGGAGGATTGGAGTGACTGGTTCCACTCAGACCATTTTAGATATCACACACTCTGAGCTTCAAGTGTGTTTATGAAGGAATGCCAATGGGCTTTTCTTTGATAATTAGCTCTACCCATCACTAGTTTAAAATTAATGTGAACTTGATAGTGAAAAAATTGTGAATTCACCAAAAAAAAATCATGATATGGTATTTTTGATACATCACCCACCATTAAATGACTTTATAAACTTTTACACTATTTTCTGTTTCAAATTACACAGTAATTTACATGTAAATCTGTGTTTACAAGAATACATAGCAGCAGCAAATAAATGTGACACCTCTGGTGCATCCAGAGGTCAGGTCCAGCAGGAATTGCTTAATATCTCTGATGTAATGTGGCGCTTATGGTGCTGGTAAGGTTTGGAAAATAACATTTCAGTGAACCGCAAATAGACATTTTGCTGATAGGAGCTGTTTTAGGATGGGAGAACTTTAGTCTTTACTGCACTTGAGAGACTAGTCCTGAAGATGTAAACTCGTAATTCTCTAAACAGAGGAAGTTCGGTTTGGTAAGACAGGAAGTATTTGTAATTTTTACAAAGAAGAAACTTTTTTATAGCGCCTCTAAAAATAAAAATCACGAGGCGCTTCACAAGAACAAAAAAGATTTTAAAATAGTGTAATAAAAAATGGGGGAAAAACAAAAAAATTAAGATTAAAAAATGAGAAGGAAGACAAAAATGAATAATAAAAAAGTTATCACAGGATCCAGAGAAAGGCAGAATTGGTAGAAACAGCAGCATGAAGAGAAGGTAGTGATGAAGGTCATACAAAAACCAGACTGAACAGGTGAGTTTTCAGCTGCTTTTTAAAGGAGACCACTGAGTCCACTGATCTCAGGCTCAGGGGGAGAGAGTTCCAGAGTCTGGGGGCCACAGCAGCAAATGATCTGTCACCTTTGGTCTTTAGCCTGGTGCTGCACAACCAGTAGGCTTTGATCACTGGACCTCAGGGACCTGCTGGGGCTATAAGGAATGAGAAGATCACCAATGTATGATGGTGCTTGTCCATGTAGGGCCCTAAAGACCAGGGGTCTCATTTATCAAACATTGCGTAGAATCCTTACTAAAACCGTACTTAAGCTCAGCAAAAAAAATGTACTTACACCAAGTAGGTTTGTGATCTATCAAACATGGAGTACGCACAGCTGCACGCAATCTCCGCTTCATAAATCAGAAACTATCTAGAAAGGTTCTCAGCTGCTTTTTAGTCACATCCCGCCCTCAACACGCCCACTTTCTGCCGTAAATGGTCAATGCAAAGTGCCTTGTGGATCTCATGCATATACATAAGCCGGCTTGTTGCAGCATTTCGATCACGACCACAGATCAAGGAAGCACTATTTCACAAGCAGAAATTGAGGTACCTGTGGGTGAGGTGGAGAAATGAAAGGAAGTGCTTTTGCAAAACAAATAAGAGAAAATCCACGGAGTGGCACAACGTTGCTGAGGCCGTCAATGCTGAGTTCTTCAGAGAGATCTGTGGCGGATATAAAAAAATGATCCGATCAGGATTCAATCCCCAGACTCCCGGGTGAGTCACTGTGAGGGATTTATCTCCTCACTAATAGTTTTGTCTCTTGTTTAATCTTGTATTTCTGTGTGTGTGTTTAGGTCAAATAAGCTTGGTGATCTAAAAATTACTTTAAGTTAAATTGATTTATTGGTGATCATCACTCCTTTCCTTCTGAGGTCATTTGTTTAAGTGTTGCCATGGAAGCGCACCTATAGGCAGCCATGAGGGAGAAGCTAACTGACTGAAGGGGTGGGGGGTGGGGGGGGAGGAGGTTATCTTGTGTTTGTTTAAGTGTAGTAGTTGTTGTTGTTTTTGTTCTTTTGAGTAAAGGTCGGAGGTAAATATGTAAATAGATTGTTTGGAATATTTTGTTGAGATGTACTTTATTGATTGCAGGATTTCAAGCTAATTGTTTCCCCTGCCCATGTCATAATGGTTGGTTCTAAGTTAGCTTTAAAAGGGTGGATTTGGCACTGTTGTTGGTTGTTTGATTGCTTCTTAAGGGGAATCCATGCCCCAATGTCATGGATTGTTTGCATTAAAAAAAAAGGATAAAAAGTCAGAGCTCTGCAACATCCTGGACTCTTGCTTTTTCTTCTGTTGACAAACAGCTGGTAACATCCTGAGTGAGTGACAAGGCAGAGGTTCTGTCTGGGCCAAAACCTTACAGTCACGCACGCTAACCAGTCAGCCAAGCAGAGATCTCCCTTGTTCAAGTAGCCAGGGTGCATGATCAATCGGGTCACAGTGACAGAACACACACACTGTCACAGACGCATGACATTGTGTCTCAATCTGTCCCCCCGCTGATATTCTGCATTCCATATTCTGCACTTCAGGCTGTGTGTGTGTGTGTGTGTGTGTGTGTGTGTGTGTGTGTGTGTGTGTGTGTGTGTGTGTGTGTGTGTGTCCACGCATGTGTGTGTGCGCGCACGCGTGTGTGTGCATGTGGGGGTCTTGTTCTGTGTGCGCACGAAGCAGTACAAGTGATAATGCTGCAGGATTTCATAATTGTATCCTTCTCAGCAGCAGCACTGCAGGTGCTCTCCATGTCCAAAATGTGCGTAAGCCAGGTCCTTAGTCAACTTAAAGTTGCGCACATTTTTCCGCTAAGTTTTCTTTCATAAATCCCAAAGTTTGCGTGGAAAGTTGCTTACGCAGTTTTCCGACCCCGTTTTGTGCATAAGCAAGCTTGATAAGTGAGGCCCCTGAACCAGGATCTTGAAAGTAACCCTGAAGTGGACTGGCAGCCAGTGACGCTGGAGGAGAAGCGGGGTGATGTGGGTGTGTTTGGAGGACTTGGTCAGAAGACGAGCACAGGCATTCTGAACCACCTGTAGACGGTTCACGGAGGTTCTGCTCAGACACGTGAAGAGAGTTGCAGTTTAGCAGCTGTTTGTCGGGACTCTGGTCTGGATCAGCTCTCTTAGAGTGAAATTTTCATTTAGTTAAGAATGTGAGTCGGAGGATTTTACAGCTGCAATTCTAGAAATAAAACAAGTGAAAACTAAAGACTGCAGAAATCTGATGATCTAGTCAGTTTCATCAAATCCTTCATGAAATTGTTTTTGATGTTTTATGATTTGGATGCTTTTTATAAACTGATGAATAAAAGATGGCTAACTAACCTTGCACTGCTCACAGCACTGTCCATGAGCACACTCAGATCCTTCAGTTAGGCGACATGTTGACGCATCACAACATGGATTGTCACATTCCTAAAAAAATAATAATTTTTTGTCAGATTAGAACAGATTTAAATGTCCTCGTTTCCCTGACAGACTTAGTCAGCCAAGAATTCCTTCTCACTGAAGAGACATGAGCAAACAAGAAAACTATTTTAACTCTTTTTGTATTTTAACAAGCAGAAACTGCATCAGGTCCTGAAGTAGGTCTTGCCTGCTCTGTGCCACAGTCACACTCCTCTCTGGGATCCAGCAGGCCGTTCCCGCAGAGGGGGCCCGCAGCGATGGTTCTGACCAGGATGGGTTGGTGGAGGCAGCTGGGCTGAGCTCGGGCCATGAATTCAGAGAGCTGCTGCAAGCTGCAGTTGCTAAAAAACTCAGGAAATGCTTGATTTGCTGTTCTGAACAGGAGAAAGGTCAGAACGCACGAATAAGTGGTTAATGGGTAAAGTGATACAGAAACAGGAAAAGTTTTGAACAATCCAGCTGCTGCCTTCAGATGTTGACTCTTGAATTTTACTTTAAAAGGTGTGGGAAACTCGATTAATCAACACATTTGCAGTGGTCTCAGGTAGGAATGAATACCTTGCAAGCCATACTTGGGGCAAAAAAATAAATAAAAGCCCATAGACGCCTGCATCAGCACGGACAAGTCTGCCACATTCAAGCAGAGCTTCACGCCCAGAACACACCAGATGCGGAAGCGATTCGATGTGCCACGAAGCGTCGTGGAACGATGAGAGCTTCTAATTGGCATCCTTGTTCACCTACACTCTGCAAAGCGCCGCGATGCACCATGAAGGCTTGCGCCAAGCAGCAATCGTTTTGGAGAGAGCTCAAATTTTTTCGTGTCCCGAGTCAATTCTGGCAGGAAGCCAAACCAAAACAGAAGAGGCAGACCAGTAAATTTAACAAAATAAAGAGAATTTTCTAAATAAAACACAGCGATTGATAAATGTCCTCATTTCTGTGTATCTAAACAGACTAGGGAGATGAAAACACACACACACACACTCCTGTGGAGAAACATGGAATTTCCATGATTTTAAATGCTGTTTTTATAGCAAAAGATGGATTTGATGAATGTGAATACGTTTAATACAAAGGTAAATATACTACAGCATTGTATGCAACCACTAACACTAGTTACCTACTTAACCATTTAGAAAGGAACTGGTCGACAAAACTGCAGCAGGATCAGCAAAGTTTCTGATATCAACAAGCAGGGCAAACTGGTCACACACACACACACACACACACACACACACACACACACACACACACACACACACACACAGCAAGGGCACGGAAGTGGGGGGGACAGTAGGCATGAGTGGAAGCACTCGTCGAAAAATTCTCGCCTGATGTGAACAGAGGGAGAGCGGGCAGCGCGCAAATTTCGTGAGAGATCTGCTTCGCAGCACTTCGCAGCTGGTGTGTTATGGGCTCGACACACGGGAGGCGACATCGCCTCTCCTCCATTCATTTTCAATGAGACATGCGCGACAAAGCGATAATCGCGGGTCCCCCTCCTGCCAAGCGAAACGCGAAAAACGTGCGTGTGAAATTTTGCGCTCGTGCACGTGTCATGCGCAGGTGACCCAGTGACGCGATCCCAGAAAGTTGAAACATTTTCAACTTTTCGTCGCTGTCGCTCGGACGAGGACCAATCAACGGAGGTTTCATTCACTGACCAATGAGCGGACAGAATGCTTCTTACACGAGCAAACATGGGGGAGAAGTTGATTATTATTATGTTTTATATAGTAAAATCAGAAGTAAGATTTCACATAACTCTAGCAGCACCTTGTGAAACATCACACCTACCACTTTATTAACTCTGAACCGCTTAAATAACCTTAATTACCTCCAACCTGACACAGCCAAACAAAACAACGGAAGTTTCGATTTCGCCATGGAACAGAACGCGTAGATGGCTTTGCCGCTGCCGCGGATCGCCTCCCGTGTGTCAGGTAATAAAAGCGACAGCGACAAATTTCGCTGATCGCTGTCATTTGTCGCCTCCCGTGTGTCAGGTAATAAAAGCGACAGCGACAAATTTAGCTGATCGCGGTCGTTTGTCGCCTCCCGTGTGTCGAGCCCATAACACGGCAGTCTTATTTGCTGATATTTGGACATCTTGCCATGGGTCAGAAAACAGCAATGCGACTCTACCACTGGCTCCATTTGCTCTGCAGTTGATGTTCTATCTCTACAAATAACAAGCTGGAGGAGCTTCTGCCATGTGGTTGAGTTGCTAACGCTAACAGTTAGCTTTTGCTAGTCGAGACGTTCTCTGCTTATTCTGGATGCTAAAACAACGGCCATCCTTGTTGCAAACCAGTATGGGTGAGCCCAAGCAACTGCTTGACGTAGATCTGTCAGGCTTTTCTAATCCTAGAGTTTCACGTCTATTTTCTATCAGAAGTGAATGCAGGAGATAGGTGTAGGGACTATTTTCATGTTCAGAAATGTACGAAATAATTCGGAGAGACCAATTATAATTATAAGTAATCATTTAAAAATATTTTTTCAGTGAACCACACCTTTAATGTTTAACTGATTTTTTTTACTTTTTTAAACTAAACTTCAGCAACATGAAAAAGCAAGCAGTCAAACTGAAAACAAATAAAGCATGAACAGGTGTGGTCTTACTCGAGCTTTTCAGTCATCACACAATTTGTGCTGCTTTGGAACGGACCACACACACAGCTTGCGGAGTCATGGGATAAACCAAAGTTGTGTCCCATCTCATGGGCAATGGTGGAGGCAAGGCCCAGAGGGTTGCTCAGGTGGTCCTGGAGGAGAGAAAGAGTCTTGGTGACTGCAATGCAAAAATACAAAGCAGTAAAACTCTTCGAACCAAGCTGCATGCGTGTGCACACACACCTGACTGACTCCAGCTGAGTTTTCTGTGCACATGGCAAACTTATTTGCTAGTCCAACTGTGCCATTGGCAAATTTTTTACCCCTGTGGAGGAGAGGCCAGCATGAGATCAAACCTCACTGCAGCTAACCAGCTACCGTCACAGATCCTCACGTCACAAACTGAGCGTTGTCGTGCTTCATCCTCGGCAGGAGCTCAGCTTTACGCCACAACAGGAAATTATCCAAGGTGGTTTCTGGCTTTTCATCCACATGGATGTAATCTTTGTACGACCAGATGTCCAGACCCACCAGCACTATGTGGATGTTCAGGGGGCGGTAAAGCTGCAGGTGGAGAGAAAAGGAGGCGGGTGTCAAGAGTCAATGTCAACATTAAAGTTTAAACTGTCACAGGTCAAAGCTCATTTACCTTATCCATGTGATTCACAACTCCAAGGATACGAGACTTAGTCTCTTTCCCATAAAGTTTGTACTGCCGAAGAAGCATCATCAGTTAAAAGCTGTAACTTTAGACAAAAGCATCCAAATGCATAGACAATTTCGACGTTCACCTCGGTGTTGTCCACCACCACAACCAGCTCAACAAACCTCTCAGGACCCGGCAGAGGTTTAGTATTCTAAAAGAGAAGATTAAGCATCTTAGCCTTCAAAGGTTTTACATTTCTATGCCAAAACAAAAACACATATGGGAAACATCCTTTAAAAGTGGAGAAACTTTCCATTAAAAGTTAAAGGTTATGGCAGGACAGTTAGAAAAAGACCGAACATGTCTGGCTTCTCTGGAATTTTCCCTCTGAAAACAACACAGCCACTCAGTTTAGGTTTGTAAAGTTTAATCTGAACGAACCACAAGACTTCTGGAACAATCGCACAGAAGAGGAGATGTTTACCCAGAATGCACGGCAGCACATTGGGAGGAACCCAAACAGCTCATCTCCTAGCAGTCATGTGAGGTTTAAAAAGGTTTAAGGGGAAGAAAACATCAAACCAGAGAATTAAAACATTAGAACTACAGATGTGTTGGTATTGTATTGTTGAAGAACATCAGGCTCAGTAGTGGGTTTCTGGGTCATAATAGTGGTTCACTTTGCACCTGGGCCTGTCACCATGGAAACATATCAGCATCACTTTGAAGAAAATGCCTGAGCACAGGAAAGTGGGGAGGAAATTTGAAACAAAGCAAATAGAAAACCTCCTAGTGGCTGGCTGCAGTGTACGTTCTAAGCTCCGCCCCTTCCATGTCAACAAATGGTACACTGTTCTGATTAATAAAAATAAACCTCAGATAAACTGGATATTATGAGTTCACTTTTCAAAATCAAGTGGCTCGTTGTTACAATTGATGATGGATCAAACTCATCAGGTCCAAAATAGATCACATAAAAATTCTGTTGTTCCCGTATAAAAGTCGATGTTCGTTACGGATCTTTGACTGCAGATCAGACTTACTGGTGATCAATAACTGGATCATTAAACTGATTCCTGTCAGCAGAAACCCTGGTGCTACTGCATACCCATGATCTGGACGTGAAGAGGCCAGCATGCTGAGGGGCCCGGTCCTGGTTGTGGTTCTGGTTCTGGTCATACAGCAAGGAGGAGGGGCCACAGCCAAGCTGGCCGCCGACCTTCAGATGCTCCCATCGATAAACTGCATGATCTTCATCATCAGTTCGTCCCAGAGGTTCTATCATGTAAACCTGCTGCTGGACTCTCAGGAAGCCTCTTAGCACCAACACAGAGAGGAAGTGGATTTATTCTTACAGCAACAATTATAACAACTAAAAGCTGCTTCAGCCACAAATATCTCCTCCCATCAACCAAAACAAATTCAGGTGGTTTGATGTTAAAATTATTTTGTTTATTTTCCATCCATTTAATAGTATTTTCATTGTTGAAAGCCAATAGAAAGATGAAAAATATACATATATAACTACATCTATAGACTGCAAGAATAAGAATGATTCTGTTTAAAAGCTTCCTTTTTTAACCCAAAGCTGATTACTAAATACCATGAAGCAACATTTTCCTCCTGAACACTGTTGAGTTTGGTTGTGCAACAAGCTAAAACAAAAACAGGAAGTGTTCTTTTCTTTCTCGTTTTTTACCTGATGCCTGAACAGATCCCCACACTGACGGAGGAGTCGACCTGGTCTTGGACGTGCCCATGGTAGAAACAGTGTTCCTGCAGGGAAACAGTTCAGACTGCGTCACAAAGAGCGTCTTTGATTCAGCATCCATAAAACCATGGAATCCAGCATTTATCACAATCGGGACGTTTGTGGGAAATCTGAAGGACAAATGCACACATCTGCAAGTTTTACTTTACTAAGAGGAACATATAGGGTAGGGCTGGGCAATAAATCAAAAATTTATCGACATCGAAATTTTTGACTCTTATCGAGATGATTTTTCCCATGTCAATAAAATAGATAATAAAAAATGAAAAAGTGTGTAGGTTGGCAACATTCATGTGCCTTTAAGAAGCGGTACCACCTTGAATCACGTAAAATTGTGACTCAACGTAATACATGTGACAGCCCCATCTAGTGGACAACTTTTGTTTCTGCGCATACCTCTAGTTATCGTCCATTTATCGTTATCAAGGTTAAATCCTCAATATATTGTGATATTGATTTTAGGCCATATCGCACAGCCCTAATACAGTGTGATTTTTAAAATAATAATAATAATAATAATAATAATCATAATCATCATCATCATCATCATCATAATAATAATAATAATAACATTTATTCAAGTTTATGAAGATTTTAAATTAATATTGATGCTGTTGTTTGTAGATAAAGCTACAAAGCTGTAATGTCCAGCAATGGTCAGTTTTTAGGTACAGTTTTACCATTCAACATCTGGTCAAAATGGAGACACGAGACTGTCGGAATTTGACAGGTAACCAGTGGAGTTTGTTCAGGACAGGGTTGATATGGTGAAATGAGGGAGTTTGGGTGACTACCCGGGCAGCAGAGTTCTGGACCAGTTGTAAGCGGTTGATGGATTTCAGGGGGAGGCCAAATAGTAGGGAGTTGCAATAATCAGGACGGCTTATGACTAGGCTATGAACCAAGGTGGCAGCAGTCTGATGAGAGAGGGAGGGAGGGAGACGGTTAATATTTCTTAGATGAAAGTGAGCAGCTCTAATGGTATTGTTGATGTGTTGCTGAAATGAAAGTATGCTGTCCAAAATGACACCCAGGCTTTTTACCAAGAGGGAGGGTGAAACTGAAGAGTTATCAATGGTAAAGGAAAAATTGTTAGTTATAGAAAGGTGGATTTGGAGCCAACTAAAAGGATTTCGGTCTTATTGCAGTTTAATTTTAGGAAATTTGAGGAAGGCCAGGAACTAATGTCAGAGATACAGTCAGTGAGGGAGGATGGAGGATGTGTACTGGAAGGCTTGGTGACAAGATAGAGTTGAGTGCCATCAGCATAACAATGAAATTGAACATTATGTTTGCGAAAAATTCCGCCAATGGGAAGTAGATAGATGATAAAAAGGAGGGGGCCGAGAACAGATCCTTGTGAAACACCGGAAGTCACAGGAGAAGGGCGAGATTGAAAAGTGTGAAGTTGTATAAACTGGGTGTGTGATGAAAGATAAGATTTGAACCAAGCCATAGGGGTATCGGTAATGCCGATTGCAGACAGTCATTTGAGTAAGATGGGGTGGGAAATGGAGTCAAAAGCAGCACTTAAATCAAGCAGAATGAGAATGGAGAGAAGACCGGTATCGGCAGCCAACAGAAGATCATTTGTAATTTTGATAAGAGCAGACTCAGTACTATGATGGGAGCGGAATCCTGACTGAAAAGTTTCATAAAGAGAATTATGAGATAAATGAGAGTGTAGTTGAACAGCGACCACTTTTTCAAGAATTTTGGATAGAAATGGAAAGTTAGAGATTGGACGGAGGTTATTGTATGCCGTTTGGATCAGCACCTTGCTTTTTTAAGATGGGAGTGACAGCAGGCATCTTAAACAGAGCGGGGAAAGAACCAGTGGTAAAAGATGACTCTATAATGTTGATAATGAGGGGTAAAAGGGACGGGAGACAGGCTTTAACTAAGGCGGTGGGAAGAAGATCTAGAAGACAGGTTGAAGGTTTAGATTTATGGATGAGTGATGAAATAGTGGAGGCGTTTGGAATAGAGAAACTGGACAGAGGTGAGGAATAACTAAACACATCAGGGGGAGGATGGAGGGTTGAAACTGTAGAAAGGTGTTGGTGAATTTTCTCGATTTTAGTTAAGTTAAACGCATGACACATAGATAGCCCTTTACCCCAGATCAGAGCATCCGGATCAAGGAAGGCGTGTTTCTGAGTTGTCTTGGTAATATTCCTCAACTTGTCAACCTCTGGTTGGCTACACAAATCATAACATGAGAATATTAAAACCGGATCACTCTGGTGATTCATCAGTTCTTGAGAAAGCTTCAGGCTGGCCATCTGAAGCAAAACCTCGTTAACCCATCAAAGATTTTGACACGTTGTCAAAATCTTTTTGCACCTGCGAAGCTGATACAGCAAACAGTTCCTGCAGAGCAAGCTGATATTGTTTCGACTCCTTAAGAGTCCGCCAGACGCGCGGTTCCATCCGTCTGTTGTGACCTGGAGACAACTCTAAGACCGGTCTAGTAGTGCCGCAGTTTCTTCTACGGACCTCGGTGCCTGGAAGTCCGAGGACTTCGACATTCCGGATCTATAACGAGGGTCTTCGAGTGGGTATGTAGACATGACAGACTGCGTCTGATGTGTTTTTGATCAATCAATCAACTTCATAGCTTAACGTAAACCAAATTATTTTATATCCAGAACTCAGCTCTCCTAGATACGGAAGTTCTGATAACACCGCATTCACACATAGGTTTCATACATCACATCTAGTTCCATCCATCACAGTAAATGTTAGTTAACCTGTCATGTTTTAATTGTTTGCAAAATTAATTCTTACTTTTATAAACCTGACTCTTTTCTGAATCAAAACGAAGTGTGTACAATACCTTAATAAAACAAAGAATCCTAGAATCTTCTGGTTAAACAACATAAAGACCAAGCAGGTTGATATTCTACATTTAGATAAGAGTGTCACAGTTTATTGGTCATAAGTAGAGGTAATATATATTGAGCTCTTAAAGCACTCGATTTCCCAAACCCTACAAAGCTATAGATTGAACAATTACTGATAAAAAATATGAACTATTCAATATAATAAAAAGTATGTTCAGAGAAACTATTCCATCATAAATTCATAGAACTTATTTACTTGAATCAGCATGTAAATTACATCTGTGGAAGTTGAGATCAGTTTGAGAACGAAAAAATAAGATGGACAGTTTAAAGAAAAAACTGCATAAAAAACATCAAAACATCTCAGATTTCTTACAAAATGTCTTTCATTATTTTAGTCATTAACAGAACTACATTAACAGGCCTCTGCATGGTATGATAGCAGAGAATAATCTTCATGAATTATATTATTACATCTTAATTTTAGACACAGCATATTATTATTTCTTATTCTTTTATATGTAAATGTATGTTTTACACAACAATTTAAAACACAAAATAGAGTGAACACTGCTAGATTAAAATCTCACCTGACTTGGCGATCCTGTCATCCTTTTACCATCTTCAGAATAAACTGTTTCTATGTAGCGTTCCCCTATTAGATTCCTGTAATAAAACACATTTAAATTAATATATTATATATCAAATTTTTTAAGTAATCTTTAAAGGTAGAAATGTGAATTGTACCTGTTTTTTTCCAGGTTAATGGTGTGGTTTCTCCCTTCGATTTTCAAGTCGTACTGAACTTTCTCGGGATAAAGCTAAAGGAAATTGAATCATTACTGACCCCGAGGCCAAACTCACATCCTTTATTAGAGTAAAATATCAGCTAAAGAGTAGCTGTGGGTAGGAGATGTGGGAAAATGCTTCTAATATACTAAAGAAAAAAATGTGTGTGTGTCTCATCTATTTTCTCAAACCCCCCAGTGAGACCACTTCAAATTTAGAACAAACTACCAGAGTCCCAAAAAATTAAACACCATTTGAAGTCATAGACAACAAACAACGTCTGGACCTAGACAATGGTAATCGGTGTTTGCCACTCACATGTGCTCTCTGGCAATATAGGTTTCCGGTTCCAGTGGACGTGGATCCACGGAACATACCCGAGAGGAGGGGTAAGTGTTCCATGACCGTGTTTGCGTTAAAAACCTAACTTGTTTGCAGATTCGCTAGAACAGCTTTAAAGGGGTGTTTTCCTCTCTACTGTCGCTGCATACTTGCTTAGTATGGGGATTGCTGTAAAGTCTCTGACATTTAGTGTTAGTGACTTGATGCAATTAGTTAACTTGCATAAAGAACTGAACTCAGTGCATCGATAAGTACGTTCAGTTGAATTGTTTACTTTCTGAAGTGCCTTAAGTCAAGTCTTTTTGTGATTTGATGCTACATAAATAAACTGAATTGAATATATATAAATATATTGTGTGTGTGTGTGTGTGTGTGTGTGTGTGTGTGTGTGTGTGTGTGTGTGTGTGTGTGTGTGTGTGTGTGTGTGTGTGTGTGTGTGTGTGTGTGTGTGTGTGTGTGTGTGTGTGTGTGTGTGTGTGTGTGTGTGTGTGTGTGTGTGTGTGTGTGAACACTATATGATGAAAGGTAATACTTTTAAATGACAGATGCTCTCATATTTGTAAATAAAACTGCCCAATGTAGTCTACACCCCATAGATTTGATGCCCAGATGAGACATTCCAGTTCTGGGGTTGAACATGATTATAAGAATTTCCTGAATCTGCTCTGGCGTCCTCCTCACCTGGTCCTTCAGAAGACTCCTGGTTCGTCTCTCTTGATGTCTTTGAGGTCGAACAACCTCATATTGTTGCACATGAGACAACAGGCCTGAAGTCTGTGCGAAACAAACTGCACACAAAAAATAATAATCTCAAGATTTTGCAGATAAAAATGCAAAACACTACTACTTCATTCTTTCACATTTCATTAATTGTGATTAATATATTGCACAAAAGTCTAACCCTCTTCAACTCTTTTGAGAATGTTTCAGTTCAGTTCAGTTCAGTTGCCCATAAACTGCGTTCATTGTGTTTCAAAAGAACCAGAAATAAAATTCCTATCTAAAAAAATTAGCATTTCATGACGAGGTTCTCTAAATGAGCTATTAGCCTAATCATCTGAATCAACTAATTAACTCTAAACACCTGCAAAAGATTCCTGCCTGCAGGCTGGGAGTTTTTAAAAGCCTCAAAATCGCAATCATGGGTAAGACTGCCGAACTGACTGCTGTCCAGAAGGCCATCACTGACACCCTCAAGCAAGAGAGTAAGGCACAGAAAGAAATTTCTGAACGAATAGGCTGTTCCCAGAGTGCTGTATCAAGGCACCTCAGTGGGAAGTATGTGGGAAGGAAAAAGTGTGGCAGAAAACGCTGTACAACGAGAAGAGGTGACTGGACCCTGAGGAAGATTGTGGAGAAGGACCGATTCCAGACCTTGGGGGACCTGCGGAGGCAGTGGACTGAGTCTGGAGTAGAAACATCCAGAGCCACCGTGTACAGGCGTGTGCAGGAAATGGGCTACAGGTGCCACATTCCCCAGGTCAAGCCACTTTTCAACCAGAAACAGCGGCAGAAGCGCCTGACCTGGGCTACAGAGAAGCAGCACTGGACTGTTGTTCAGTGGTCCAAAGTACTTTTTTTTTCAGATGAAAGCATGTCATTCGGAAATCAAGGTGCCAGAGTCTGGAGGAAGACTTGGCAGAGGGAAATGCCAAAATGCCTGAAGTCCAGTGTCAAGTACCCACAGTCAGTGATGGTCTGGGGTGCCATGTCAGCTGCTGGTGTTGGTCCACTGTGTTTTATCAAGGGCAGGGTCAATGCAGCTAGCCATCAGGAGATTTTGGAGCACTTCATGCTTCCATCTGCTGAAAAGCTTTATGGAGATGAAGATTTCATTTTTCAGCACGACCTGGGACCTGCTCACAGTGCCAAAACCACTGGTAAATGATTTACTGACCATGGTATTACTGTGCTCAATTGGCCTGTCAACTCTCCTGACCTGAACCCCATAGAGAATCTGTGGGATACTGTGAAGAGAAAGTTGAGAAACGCAAGACCCAACACTCTGGATGAGCTTAAGGCAGCTATCGAAGCATCCTGAGCCTCCATAACACCTCAGCAGTGTCACAGGCTGATTGCCTCCATGCCACGCCGCATTGAAGCAGTCATTTCTGCAAAAGGATTCCCGACCAAGTATTGAGTGCATAACTGAACAAAATTATTTAAAGGTTGACTTTTTTTTGTATTAAAAACACTTTTCTTTTATTGATCGGATGAAATATGCTAATTTTTTTAGATAGGAATTTTGGGTTTTCATGAGCTGTATGCCAAAATCATCAATATTAGAAACAGTAAAAGGCTTGAACTACTTCAGTTGTGTGTAATTAATCTAATATATATGAAAGTCTAATGTTTATCAGTACATTAGACAATAATGAACTTTATCACAATATGCAAATTTTTTGAGAAGGACCTGTAAATATTCATGAATATTTATTTGTTTTGAAGGATGGATGGCTAAAGAGTTTTGCAGTGAATTCAATAGAGGATGAAAAAATGACTAAGCTATTTATTTCTATATGAAAAGTCATGATATACTAAGTATGAGAGGAAGCTTGTGTCCAGTATCATTTAGTGTTGTTTCTCATAACAAAGCTGCATGCGTTTGCTGATGAATCTGACCTTCTGTTATGCACATTTCTGTCTTTCAAAACCCACTAAAACTAGTACTCAATATAATCATCACATTTTCTGTCTCAACTTAAACAATTATAACGTTGAACAAACGACTGAAAGAGGGGAAAGCCTTAACTGCTGCATTAAGTGGTTTTAAATGTGTTATTAACGCACATGATAACAAATGCTATAACACCGCACCAGTAAATGTGTTATCAACAAATATGGGGGGGAAAGATAAAAATATTTAAAACATTCACGTAATAAAGCTCCCGGATGCTTTCAAATAGTTGCACAGCCAGTATGAATCCTAAATAACTTTGTGGTTTATAAAAGTCGGATGTCCCATTTTCATCTCTGCTAAACTTTTTCGGCTGATCTGGGACCAGTTACTGCCTGCCGTAAGATTGTCTGATGATAATAAACAGAAGAAAAACTTACCCCAGACCAGCCACGGGAACATGTTCACCGTGAGCTCGGCGTGTCCGGTCTCCTGTCCCGTTACTGTGCCGTGAATCATCGCTGAGGCCCCACCCGGAGGAGGGGGGGGGGGGGGGGGGGGTGACTATCACCGACTCACATATTTACCGGAAAAACAACACTTCCGGTATCTGACATTTCAAAATAAAACCTAACCGGTTTCGTAAGGCTAATAATAAATGTATGACTCACTTTTATCTTAACATTAGTTAGTGTTATTTTAGTTATTCTCACACAAATTTACACAAAGTCACAAATTGCATCATAATTGTATAAAAAACAATTTCTTTATTTAACAGAATTTTCCTAAGCCTCAATTCAAGAGAAATCCACAATGAATGAAATGAATCGTAACTGAACAATGTCCTTCCTGCAGTTGCAATTAAGAAACAATTGATAAGAAAAACTATCCACAATTTCTGCTGAAATAACATTGAAAAGCATTTTGTTTTGTTAAAGAATATATATCTACAATCATGGTTATGGACCTAAAGAGGTTTTGCTTGAGTCAGAGGTGAAGCAAGTCAAGGCAGTTTTATTTATATAGAACATTTCATACACAGCAGCAATTTTATGTGCTTTCCAGGTGCAAATAAGCAACCTAAAACATTGAAATCAATGTGACAACAATAAAGAGTATATTCTAAAATGAAAGTTAAAAATACACTAATAAATTTCAAAGTAAGAAATAAAATTATAGACAAAGTTAAAGACTTAACAGTGCTGAAGGTGCAGCACAAGAAATAAATCTGTCAAAAGCTGGTGAATACATGAAGGTTTTCAATTTTGGTTTGAAAGTTACTAGAGTTGGGGTACGAGGTCATCAGGAAGCTGATTCCAACTGTGAGCAGCATAGTAGCTAAAAGCAGCTTCACCGCGTTTGGTTCTGACCCGAGGTTCTACCAGCTGACTTCTTAAGGATCTCAGAGTCCTGCTGGGCATATAAACATGAAAGAGATCCAAAATGTATTCTGCCCCCATGCCATTGAGTAATTTATAAACTAGTAGTTACTTTGAAATCGATTCTGTAGTTTACTGGTAACCAAGGGTGTCAGTTTGTTTTCAGAATTGCTGGGGACAATAACCATACACTTGAGTGGGGTTTAAAAATTGCTGGGGACAATAAAGTAGGCTAGCACAGGGGTCGGCAATCCGCGGCTCTGGAGCCGCATGCGGCTCTTCCATCCATCTGATGCGGCTCTCTGTGCTTATAAAATAATGAATGGATATTTAAATAAAATGCTTTATATTTTACTGCATTAATTTTACACCTGTATGCCAATTCTAAATGTAAAGATTATCTGCGTAAACCTGAACAGGTCCAACCCGGTCTGCGGTGGTTGACCGGTCATGCTTGTGCGTAATCATATCGGCACTTTATGAGCTGAAGAGGATGTGAGATTCTGGGATTCTCCTCAGACGGCTCCTGGATGTGTCGCCACATTGGAGCCAGGAACAAGCACTATTCAGCCAAAGTTTCATAATCAGGGAACATTTTCTAAGTGACAAGTCTCTCTGAGAGACAGGGTTTGGAAAACACTCGCTTCAGTGGGAGGAATCTTCCCGCATGCGCACTGGTTCTCTGCGTGGCTCTGGGGTTAATCAAGTTTAATTGTTTCTCTTTGCAACAATCTTCACAGGAAGGCAAAACAGTTAAACGGCAGGTTACAGATATTTCCATTTGACTGTTTATTTTGACAGATGAACTCAAGGATGTTGCTTGGTTTGAAAGAATTATCCCGACGCACACTGATGCGCATGGATGAGCTGACATTTTATTCGTTAACGCACATCGCGGAGGTAAAATATTCTCATCAGAACATCAGAGCTTTATACTGGACACTGTGTTCAGCGCGGCTCGGAGCGCCCACGGTGCACAGTGGGCTGAAGATCTGGGGTTCCAGCGCAGTGCAGAACCACATGCATGCGATAAGATTTCCTCCCACTGAAACAGTCTGGAAACCCAGTCTCTCTGAGGGATGTGTCACTTGGAAAAATGTTCTTTTTATGAAATTATGAAACTTTGGCTGAACAGCGCTTGTTCCCGTCTCTAATATGGAGACGCATGACGCGTAGAGACATTTGATCACGCACAAAGTTCATGTGGAGCAGAAGCGGTCGGGCCACGGCAGGTGAAACGTTCCTAGCCTACATGAAGTGAAACTGTTTAATTGTAACATTAATATGTTACTGGACACGCTGGTCTGGTTGGTTAGACCAGTGTTTGAAGCGGAAAACACACACACACACACACACACACCAATTAAAATAATGCTGATAGCGTGGACTAGAAGACAGGTGATGGTTTACGTATTTAAATGATGATCAGGCTGCTGTAAAATGTAATCTCCATCCACATCCAGACACAATTATCCTCTATTCTTTCTCTATTTGCTCTGCTCTTGTCTGGGCTGATCAGCTGATGGTGCGCGCGGTGCGCCTAACTAGCGGCTGATGCACATTTTACGCATTTGGAGAGGTGGGCTGGATGCTTTGCGTTTACTGGAAGATGGTCCACTTAACGCACGTAGACTAAATATTAATGACAAATGAATGAAAATTAAATTGTGAGTTTTTACTTCATATTTTATAAATAAAAATGACGGGGGAACACATTTATGACGTCTTTTTAAACGAAATTTTCTAGTGCGACCTGCCTGCTTCACTTAAGTCACTGCTTATTAAGGTCCGTCCAAAATTACCGTGAGAAACGGGTAATAATGGCTCTTTGATGGGAACAGGTTGCCGACCCCTGGTATAAGATCTGAGCTGGTAAAACAAAAATCCTCATCAGCAGGCGTTTTTGAAAGTGGGGGGGACACAGCTGCCAATCACAAATTTTGCCGGGGACATGTCCCCGGCGTCCCCGGTTAAAATGACGCCTATGCTGGTAACCAAGGTAGAGGTGCAGAACAGGAGTGATGTGCTCACTTCTCTTGGTTCTTGATAAGACTCTTGCAGCAGCATTCTGAATAAGCTGCAGTTGCTTCACAGCTTTTTGGAAAAACCAGTCAAAAGACAAGCCTTAAATATTTTTTGTATTTTACAGTAGATGAAAATTGGCTGAAGCTTTGGGTTTTAAGATGGAGGCAGAGGATTTTGTAGTAAAAATCAAAACTCAAAGTTGGATCAGCAAAGTTTTGCTTTAATGAAATGCAAATACAGTTTTCTGCTGTACAATAAGTTACCAACATGAAGTTTCACAACTTAGAAGTTCTGAGACGAAACATAACAATAATCCTGCTGATCAAGACATTTTACACAGAAGATAATATAAAACACAATGACCCTTCAGCTGATGATCAGTGATGTTTATGAGTGACGCACAGGTAAAAAAAAAGTTTATTTTCTGAATGATTATTTATTCACAAACAGCAGAAATGTTACGCTGCAGCCTTCTGATTGCGCTCCACAGCCATCCTCTCCAACCTCTCAGTGTAGAACCCATTAAAGTCCAACCTGTGGAGCCAAATTCCATTTTGATTAAATCAACAGAAACAAATGTTACCATTGCACAAATCTTACAATTTAATCACCAACTCCTCCAAACGTTGCCTCACAATTCTTTATATTTTCTGAAACAAGCTAAACTGAGAAAGCTAGAAGGGTTTCAGACCCTCGCTGTGATTTGGTAACTTTATTTACCCAAACATGGTCAACGAATGCACATTAAGAACACTCAGGAACATCTCGAGACTTTTTGGAGACTCCTTCATGAATGCTGTTTGCAGCAGACTAGTGAGAGCATGGCTTTAGATAGATCCCATGTTACCACACCTCTACAAGGTGGATGTGGTGTGAAAAACCAAATATTTACATTTTGTTTATGAAACACTAAATCATTGAACATCCTCTTACTAAGACACTTCAAATCAATGTAACTGACGAAAACTTCAGCTAATAAAAACACCATTATTCACTTCTCGCTGACACTAGGTCTGTGTCTCAATTCAGGGTCTGCATCCTTCGACGGCCGGATTCGTCGGCCAGTTACGTCACAGCGCCGCGACTAGGCCCGTCCCAATTTGAAGACTCCTTCAAATGCGGTCGACGAATCCGGCCTTCTTTTCGCCTGAATGAAGGATGGGTCCGGTGTATCCTTCAATGGTTTACATTTCTCAAGATGCTTTGCGGGCAGGATGGCAGAACTTTTAAAAACAATGGCGGACAGTGAAGCAGGAGCTGTCGGAGAGGACTGCGCATATAAATGTCAGTATAAACTAGAAAACTGTTAGGTTAAGGGCTTTTTGTGATACATGAACGTTATTTTAGTTAGAAATGTTACAGTAAAAGTGCTTGTACTGCGGTCTCGGCTCGTATGTTCGGCCGCTCGGTGTCGTACTTCTCCCGCTACATTTTCCCCCTGATTTTAATAGAAGTTTGTATTTTAGGGACAAAAGAGAAAACCAGGGAATTTATTAAGCTTAGGGCAGAGATGGACCACATGATCACCGGAGCAAAGTATTCGGCGGCTGTGGAGGTACAATAACATCTCATATTTTAAAAACTGTCGTTTAGTTTTTTTCTGCAAAAACATGAAAGGAATAACCCGCTGTCCTCTTTTCTCTTCCTGTTTTTTTCCTACATGTTTGTTAAGACTATTCTGGAGAAAATGGGCATCCTGGGGAAGGTGACAGCGATGACCAGCTTCTGGAGCTGATCAGGGAGGACTTGAGGCTGCAGAGGGAGGCAGAGCAGCAGAGGGCAGGAGAGAAGGGAGAACTTTGACAGCTTTTTAGTTTGCTAGAAAAAATGGTTACGAAAGATTAAACATGTACATATAAAAGAAATATCTAAATAAAATCAGTTCTGTATTAAACTTAAATTTTATTTTTGTTTACAAATGAGAATTGTTTCATATTACAGGGTATCAGCTGGGTCTTGAAAAGTCTTAAAAGGTGATAAATCGGTTTTGGTCAAATGAAGACCCTTAGAAAGTATTAAAAACTATTATCACATCTTTGCTCAGGCTCAGCTTGTCGAAAGTATTTTCTCTGAATTAGCTCTCCAACAGTCAAGGAAATGATTAAAAAGCTAAATAAAACTTCGAGCTCCATCGTTTAAAGTTCCTTCTCCCTCCTGCTCAGCGGTTCCACGGTTGCTAGGCGACGGAACGTTCGCCGAGGGAGTGGCAGGAATTCATGAAGGCTAGGCCTGTCCAAATTCACAGCCGTTAACATCCGGTCTACCCGGCCGACGGAGGACTCAGCCCACGTCGGCCGAGTAGGCTGGGTCCTTCGAAGGATGCAGACCCTGAATTGAGACACAGCGAAGCTCTTCCTGCACCTTAGGGTTCCAAATGATTACCTGTAGATGATGCTGATCATGCTGTGCTCACAGTCGTTGGTGCTGTAGATGCTCAGCTTGTCCAGCAGGTCGAGCAGCAGCAGGCCGAAGTTGCTGTCAAACTTACTGATGGTGGCTTCAATGCCGGCGTTGGACTGGAGGGCGTCCGCGTGCTCAGATAAAAACTGGAGCAGTGACACAAATTTGATGTTTATTGAGAGGACTTAGAGGAATGTGTTTAAATAGCTTTTGGCTGCATTTACACAAATATTGACTTTTTTCCTAAATCTCATTCAAATGTGTGTCAACACAAGCAAAAGATGTTAGATCGGACAAACGGCAGATAAAGAAGAAAATATTTTAGATACCTTAGTGGTCGGTCTCTTGGTCTCAGACTCAGCCTGGTCACTCTGAGCTGGAGGTTCGTCCATCATCTCCTGCTCCTGAGAGAGACGCTCCAACCTCAAGCTCTGTGTGAACCGCTGCAACCATCAGGAAAAAGAGAGCGGTTATAACAACAATTGTAATGATAGATAAGAGTTGTTTTCTGATTTATTAGAAAATGTATTAGAATACGGTGAGACATTAGGTGTCATTCTGGAATATCAGTTGAAATAAGAGCAGATGCATCCAAGAATCAGCTATTTTACACCATGTTGTCAAAACTGCTGGTTAATTAGCTCTCCATGTGGTCATTTTATTCATAACAAGTGGGTTTTATTTTTGAATTCAGCCAAGATCAAGGTTGTGGATTTTAGGCCTGAACTGCAGACATGAACCTCCTCCGGATCGTATTAGCTTGTCCTAATGTAAGGAACCTCGGCATTATTCTGGACCAGGATCGGTTCTTTAACTCCCACATAAGACATTTTATTAACTCATTCACTGCCAATGACGACTAAAGTCGTCATTTGCATGTTTTTACTGTTTGAGCATCGGAACGAGCCCCCGCGCTGAGAAAACAAACATCTCAGCCCTGAAGCCGATCTTCATCCGCATACGTCACAGATCACATGATCAGGAAGCAACACATCCATGTGGTTGGATATCGTTTTGGGCCGTTCCTGTAAAAAAAGTGAGGCGCGAACCGGAAAAGCGTCTGCCGATCACAATTCGACAACGGATTATGAAAGAACGGATAACGCTCGAAACACACGGCTTCTTCCTGATGTAAGAGGTGAGTCTCCTCTTTGTTTTGGTTGTCTTGACATCGACATCATGCTAGCGCGCAACGTTCTGTGACTCTTTAAAAAGCTGTAAAAACGGTGAGAAACGCTGGCAGCGAAGGCCGTTAGTGATCAGGAAACGGCTGGCAGTGAATGAGTTAACTGCCTTGTCTATTTCAACAAAGCACTGCTAAAATCAGGAACATTTCAAAAAACTGTCTTAAATCTGGACTAAAATTAACTGGATTTGTTGCTTTTTGTGCAGCTTTGAGAGGAACTTTGTTGTGAATTGGATCAATATTCCTACCCACAGAAACTAATTTATACTCAAGAGGGCTTAAATTCAGTAAACGGTGATGCTTTCATGTTTCTCTTTCTCTCCGGCAAACAAACCTGCATGCAGCCTGTGAACATGACGCAAACAGACATGAGCTTGGAGAAGATCCTGAGAAGCTCAGGGTTGGTGAGCATGCAGTCCTTCAGACAGTTATCCAGGAAGCTGGTGTGATGACACAGAACGTCATCGATGTTTGAAGCCTGGCAGAAAAGTTCACAGTCAATATTAGAAACAGACAGAAGTCAGTGCATCTATGTTTGAGTGCTGCACGCTGTTGACCCCCCTCACCATTTTCAGGTTGTTCTCCATGACGTGCCAGGTGGGTTCCATCACTTCAAACATCATGTAGTACTGGATGTTCTGCACAAAGTTGAGCATCCGCTGGCGTAGGGCGAACGCAGTTGCAAACCTGCACACAGATCCATTTCTGAGCACAAAAACCTCTTCTGCCTCAGATTTGACACAAATTAGTTGACTCATTAGCTCACCATTTGGCCGACGGCAGCGAGTACTGCTTGAAGTCTTTGCTGCTGATCCACACGTTGCACAGAAGTCTCTCTACGTGTTTGCAGTAAAACATGTGTCTGAAAAGCATCTGGTACCTCGTCAGCGCTTTTCTGGATAAGAAAAACAAACATTAAAGCTTCTTTTTCACAGACTTCCAAAGAATTCAGTGATTTTTTTTTCAAGGAGACCTGTTGATGATGAGTGAGAGCGGCCATTTGACAATGTAGTCAAAGGAGAAGGCCTCCAGCCCGCTCAGCACCCCGTCGGTGGGCTCAGCGTTGATGATGGCCTTCTCCTGTTTGGTCTCAATGGCGAGAACTCGCAGCAGCTGAGTGATGACATCATGGGGCATCAAATCGATCTGGACAGAGACGAGAAAGTCAGAAAAATGGTGCTAAAAACAGTTCTATTTATCTGGATTCCCACCCAAAAATATCTTATTGTACATATGCAGAAATTCATACACATTTTTTAGAAAAGTCACATTTTCTGAACAAAAATTATTCTTCCTGCCTGAATACCATCAGCATCACCTTTGACAGCAGCTCGAACACAGCTAAGTTCTGGTATGGACTTGGAGCTACTACGGTCCCTGTGCTGTCTGTTCAACTGTGACACATATACCTGATCTTCTTGTTAAGTTTTCTAATTACCCTTTTATGTCACCAAGTTTTTAACTGCACAAAGCCACTGGGTTGATTTACAGCAAATAAGGCACAAGAAAACATTAGGACTGACCTTTAGGTCGTCTTTGAAGGGGTCTGTGTTGGCTGTGCTCATTCTCAGAGCAAGCTCCAGCAGAGCTTCAAGTCTGGGAGGAACAATGTCATCCACCGGCTTCTTCAGCTCTTCTTCTGTCAGGTCCATGAAGTGGACAAAGAAATCTCCTTTGTCCATCAGAAAGTAGTGTTTTATGGATCTGTTGAGGACAAAATTAGCACAGGATTCAGGAATCCACTCTCCACTACCTGTTCCAGGCACTGTCTCTGAGTGAACCGTAACCTGAGACGTGAAACCAGCTCCTTCTCTTCCATCAGGAAGTCCAGGAGAACCTTGCTGGCATAATTGTACGACTTCTCAATCTGTTCCACGTAGGCCCGCTCCTTCAGTGTGTACAGAACCTCTTTAGCATCAGGACACGTAACATCCCGGCCACACTCCCGCACCACATTCAAGTATTTACCTGGAAAAAAAACATTTAAATCCATGTGAGGAATGGTCTATCTTACACATTTTGTCTTTGTTTATACCTGTGCTTAATATTTTGTCGGCCATTTTCTGTAGAAAGGAGGGAATCCGATGCTGCACAATGGTGTATCTTTGATCCCAGTATTTATCGTTGTAGTCTTCCTGAATCTTCTCCTTCTGCAGCTCGTGCTCCTCCACCATGAACTCACTATGATAGTACATACACACACACACACACACACACACGCACACTTAAAACTAGAATGACTGGATCAGTAATGTGTCACGGGTCTTTAACGCATTTCTGATTGATCGAGCGGTTACTGAGCGAAGCGACGATGCAGCAAGTGAACTAGGCGACGTCAGATGCTTCATTCAATGTAACTTACAAACAGATGCTGTTTAACGTAAAGCAGATTTATTTTTCTATTTTTTAATGGTGTGGAACACTCGTTTAATACTCTTGAATGCCTTGTAATTCCTACTCGGGGGATAAAAAGCTCAGATGTGCCTGAATCAGGAACTAGCAGACCGCCACATCCAGGGAGAGCTTAACACGGCGTCTTGGGAGTCTTATTTTATGTCATTTGGACATCTCGCCACTGATTGGATAACAGCAATGCAACTCTACCACTGACTCTGTTTGCTTTGCAATGTTGACATTTTATATCCACAAATATTAAAAGCCTGAAGAAGTTCTGCTGTGTGGTGAAGTTGCTAAAGCTAATGGTTAGCTTCTACTAGCAGAGATGTTCTCTGCTGTTTTCTGGACGCTAAACCAACAACAGCGTTCCTCATCGTGAATCAGAATGGGCGAGTTCATGAATGTTAGGTGAGAGCAGGGCTGGGTGATCTGGCCTAAAATCAATATCACGGTATATAGAGGATTTCACCCCGATAACGATAAATGGACGATAACTACAGGTATGCACAGAGACAACAGTTGTCCACTAGATGGGGCTGTCACATGTTTTACATTGACCCCGGCTTTCCACAGGAGCCGTCAGCAGCACGTTACTGCAGCAGCACGTCATAGCTGCTGATAGGAACCGCTGTGGTCAACAGAACCTTTTCCACTGGAGCCGTCAGCAGCCGTCAGCAGCGCGAGTCGGCCGCGTCTCAGGAGCAGCATGTCGCGGCCTTTACGCGCCGGTTCTATTTTCTACACGCGGCACCTCTGAAACGGGTCAAGTTCGACATTTTTGGGGAAGGAAAGACAGGAAATCGGACGCGGAAATGGAGAGAGTCTACCGATATTTTCAGAGTAAAGAACGTACTGCCTTACGGTTGCTTTACTTTTAAAAAAGGTTACTAACTGTGCGTCCCTGTGAGAAGTTATCACCTAGCTAGCGGTCTCCTTTGTTTTTCAGGTCCGTATAGGCGATTATAAAATAGACAGAACATAAAACACAAACCATGTTGTAATTTTCTCCTGCTTGTTGTTGTGTTTACTGACGAAGTCACTCGTGTGACTTCGTGCTCGGTCGGTGACAGCTGCTCCCCTGCTGCTTCGCGTCTCGTGGGAAGGACCAAGCAGCAGCTTACGCAAGCAAGACGTGCTGCTGCAGTAACGTGCTGCTGACGGCTCCCGTGGAAACCCGGGGTAAGTCACATTTTTATGTGACTTAATGTGGTACAGCTTCTTAACTCATTCACTGCCAATGACGGCTAAAGTCGTCATTTGCATGTTTTTACTGTGTGGGCATCGGAACGAGCCCCCGCACTGTGAGAGCAAACATCTCAGCTCTAAAGCCGATCTTCATCTGCGTACGTCACGTGACCGGATAGCAGAAAATCCATGTGTTAGGAGATAGTTTTGGGCCGCAGCTATAAAAATAAGTGAGGCGCACCAGAAAAGCTTCTGCCGATAGCAATTCAACGGATTATGAAAGAACGGATAACACTCAAAACGCGCGTATTCTTCCTGATGTAAGAGGTGAGTCTCCTCTTTGTTTTGGTAGTTTTAGCGTCGACATCATCCTAGCGTGCAACGTTCTGTGACTCTTAAAAAAACAGTAAAAACGGTGAGAAACGCTGGCAAAGAACGGCTTTACCGATCAGGAAATGGCTGGCAGCGAATGAGTTAAAGGGACATGAATGTTGCCAACCTACACACATCTTTTCATTATCAAATTTATTGACATGGAAAAAATTTCAATAACGATACGTTTTCGTTATATCGCCCAGCCCTAGGTGACAGTGTGATGTAGATCTGTGAGAGTTTCACCATTTATTTTCTATCAGAAGCTAATGCAAGCGATAGGTGTAGGAGACTATTTTCATGTTCAGCATGAAAAACTCAGTGACCGATTACAATAAGAAATAATATAAATGTCCTGCTTTTGATGTTTTAGTTAGTATTGCTTCTAAACCATGCACAAGTCATCCAGCACTGTGTGAAAAGCAAAGGAAATAAATGCTATTTTCATTGTAACAACTAATGAAAACAAATGTTTTCTTTATTGCCTGGTTGAATATGTGCTGGTGATACAAATGGTGTAAGATTTATTATATTAACACTGGTGTAGTTAGTGTCTTATAATTAAAGCTAAATGGGAGTGGATATCTGAAGACGCATAAATGACTTAAATCTGCATAAGGAATAAAGAAGTTCTTGACTAGGGCATCCTCTTTTATTCTGAAACCGTCTTTTATGCGTACCAACCTGTATGGGTCCTTGATGATCCCTCTGTAAATCCACTTCTCCAGAATTTCAAAGTATGGAACGCTGGCTGCTTTAGTGAGGTAAAGACAAAGTTCCTGAGCCTGGCTGTCACCCGTGTAGTTGAAGGTCCGATCGTGAAGTAGGCTGAGAGTTGAACCACCCATACACTCCCCTTTGTCTAACGAAGAGGCTGAAAACATACCAGAAAAAGTTGTGTTCCTTTAGTAAGAGACAGACTTTTATAGTTACTATTTGGAGTCCATCGTTCTGCAAAAAGATTTATCACAAGTGGAAAGTGAGGTAAAGATCCCAGTAACTTCCTGAGGTCAAACCATGTCACGCTTGGAAAAATGGAAAAATCTCAATGATTCTGTGTAAATCAGACAAAAGATGCACTATCTGGATAGAAGCACCATGGAGCAGGAGGTCAGTGTCTCACCAATAGATGCCAGAATCTCCATGGTCCTCATGGTGGGTTGGATATAAAACCAGAGCTTCTGCAGCGACAGAAGGCCCTGCCGCTGGAGGTGCTCCAGCTGAGTGACGAGGATTAGATATTCCTTCATCAGAGTCCTCATTGCTGCCGTGAGGGCGTGGTTCACCTGGCCGTACTCAAACGATGACTTCTCCTCAATAAACCTGGGCAACAAATCAGACGATGGAAAATGATTTTCAGAATTCCAAAAATCCACAATTATCAGCCTAATTACTCAATTTATTAAAACTGTTATCAAACACTCATAGTCGGTGAAATTAGTCAAATAAGCTGAAAATTAAAATATTCTTTGTGAAAAGGTTAGAATCTAATTTATGACGTAAAAAGAGTGTAAATCTGTCAACCCTGACGTGGTTCCTTACCGTGTTATAGTGGAGTAATACGATGCCACGGGTAATATTCTGTTAACCAGCTCTTTTACAGACATGTCCAGCGTTGCATCAACTATAAAAGAACGGTTCTGTCTCCCCAGCACTGGCTGAGCCGTGATGTCTCGCCCATCAACTCCAACCAGGACAAAAAGCAGGTCCTCCACTACAAACTGCTCCTGAGTGGACAAAGGCAGCGTGCCTGAACACAAACCAGCAAATGGGAATGTGAGAAGCGACGCCACATGAAGCAGAACTTAGTGAGAACATTAACTCTCTGTGTACCAACGGACGCAGCTGGATCTCCTGCTGGGGTGGGGCTGATGATGAAATCTCCAATGAGAGCTGGTCGGTCGTAGACCCAGTTAGGAAACACGGGGTTGGGCTGAGTGGGATTCTTCTTGTTGTGTTTGTCCCTCAGCATCTTCCGCGTGACTTCAGCAGGCTAAAAAAATAAAATAAAAAAGCAGATTAAATGACGCAACATCTCGATTCAATCTACACCTAAAGATTCAGGTTAGCCTCATTAATTGTGATACCAGTTTTTAAATAAAGATGAGAGGTTTATGTTTCAATTTGTAGATTTGTCTCGATTGCAACTAACCTTATAGATACATATAAAAAAGAAAAACCCAAAATGCACTAAATGTGTTTCACAAAGCCTGGATAAGCAGAGGAAGGGGAGTGTTTGAGTAATGATAAAACCTCACCAGAGGAGCGTTAGAGCTGGCCGTCACATTGCCAAGCTTTTTCCGCAGCTCGTCCAGCTCCTGCATGGACATCTTTGTGCTTGTTTGAGGCAGAGTGTAACTGGAGGTTGTGGTTGAGTTTGCACTCGCTGAGGACTCGGACCTCTCTTTAGCATTCTGCTGCAAACACTGAAGCATCTAAAACAACAGAAAACACCGGAACGGACACAATAATTTTGTGAAAGCACATCTAAAAGATGATGTAGGTGTTTTTAAATTTGCTTGAGAACTAAAACTTCATACCATGGGCTCACCACTCGTGGGAGGGGCCAAAGGGGTCGGGTGCAGTGTGTGACGGGTGGTAGTCGAGGGCGGGGACCTTGGCGGTCTGATCCTCGGCTACAGAAGCTGGCTCTTGGAACATGGAATGTCACCTCTCTGGTGGGGAAGGAGCCTGAGGTGGTGTGAGGTTGAGAGTTTCCGACTAGATATAGTCGGACTCACCTCAACGCATGGCTCTGGCTCTGGAACCAGTTTCCTTGAGAGGGCTTGGACTTTCTACCACTCTGAAGTTGCTCCCACTGAGAGGTGCCGAGCAGGGGTGGGCATACTAGTTGCCCCCATTTTGGTGCCTGTACGTTGGGGTTTACCCCAGTGAATGAGAGGGTAACCTCCCTCCGCCTACGTGTGGGGGGATGGGTTCTGACTGTGGTCTGTGCTTATGCACCAAACTACAGTTCAGACTACCCACCCTTTTTGGAGACCTTGGAGGGGGTGCTGGAAAGCGCTCCTTCCGGTGACTCCCTCGTTCTGCTGGGGGACTTTAACGCTCATGTGGGCAACGACAGTGAGACCTGGAGAGGTGTGGTTGGGAGGAACGGCCCCCCTGATCTGAATTCAAGTGGTGTTTTGTTATTGGACTTCTGTGCCAGTCATGGATTGTCCATAATGAACACCATGTTCAGACATAAAGGTGTCCATATGTGCTCTTGGCACCAGGATACCTTAGGCCGCAGCTCGATGATCGACTTTGTTATTGTTTCATCTGACCTGCGGCCGCATGTCTTGGACACTCGGGTGGAGAGGGGCGGAGCTGTCAACTGACCACTACCTGGTGGTAAGTTGGCTCAGATGGTGGGGGAGGATGCCGGGCAGACCAGGCAGGCCCAAATGTATCGTGAGGGTCTGCTGGGAACGTCTGGCAGAGTTTCCTATCAGAAGGAGCTTCAATTCCGCCCTCCGACAGAACTTCCAAAATGTTCCGGGGGAGGCGGGGGACATTGAGTCTGAATGGACCCTGTTCCGTGCCTCCGTTGTTGAGGCGGCCGACCGGAGCTGTGGTCGCAGGATCGTCTGTGCCTGTCGTGGTGGCAACCCCCGAACCCGCTGGTGGACACCGGCGGTTAGGGATGCTGTTAAGCTGAAGAAATAGTCCTATCAGGTCTTTTTGGCCTGTAGGACTCCAGAGGCAGCTGACGGGTACTGGCAGTCCAAGCGGAACGCGGCTCGGGTGGTCGCCGAGGCAAACACCCGGGCATGGGAGGAGTTCGGTGAGACCATGGAGCAAGACTTCCGTATGGCTTCGAGGAGATTCTGGTCCACCATCCTGCACCTCAGGGGGGGAAAGCAGTGCGCTACCAACACTATCTATAGTGGGGACGGTGTGTTGCTGACCTCTACTCAGGACGTTGTGGATTGGTGGGCAGAATACTTCGAAGACCTCCTCAATCCCACCGACATGTCTTCCAGTGAGGAAGCAGAGTCTGGGGACTTTGGGTTGGCCTCTCAAATCTCTGGTGCTGAGGTCACTGAGGTGGTTAAAAAGCTCCTCTGTAGCAAGGCTCCAGGGGTGGATGAGATCCACCCGGAGTTCCTTAAGGCTCTGGATGTTGTGGGGCTGTGTTGGCTGACGCGGCTCTGCAATATCGTGTGGACATCGGGGGCAGTCCCATTGGACTGGCAGACCGGGGTGGTGGTCCCCTTATTTAAAAAGGGGGACCGCAGGGTGTGTTCCATCTACAGGGGGATCACACTCCTGAGCCTTCCTGGTCAGGTCTATTCAGGGGTTCTGGAGAGGAGGATCCGTCGGATTGTTGAACCTCAGATGATTCAGGAGGAGCAATGTGGTTTTCGTCCTGGCCATGGAACACTGGACCAGCTCTATACCCTTAGGGGATCCTGGAGGGTGCGTGGGAATTTGCCCTACCAGTCTACATGTGTTTTGTGGATTTGGAGAAGGCGTTTGACCGCGTCCCTCGGGGGGCCCTGTGGGGGGGTACTCCGGGAGTATGGGGTACCAGGCCCTCTGATAGGGGCTGTTAGGTCCCTGTATGACCGGTGTCAGAGCTTGGTCCACATTGCCAGTGTCTGTACAGGATCGGCTCGGGGTCCTTTGACTACCGATGACGTCAAAGTAGTTGATTGGCTGAACATGAAGCTTACGGAAGTTATGTTATCACGTTATGATTTTGATTGGTCAGAACAAATTTGCGGTCGTAGTCTTAGCGGTTGTAGTCCTGTAGTCCAAAAATCAACACTTTTTGCAGAAAATATGTTTGAATTTCTGAAGGAAATGTAAAATATAAGCAAATGATAAACGGTGACCCTCAAGAGCTCTTGATGTTGATGAAATGGAGCAAAATAAAATATAAGAACTTTATTGAAAGACACCAAGCAATATTTTGAGTCAAAGAATGTATTTAGATAACAACTAAGGAAATATACATACGAACTCCACATTAATACAAACAGATATGGCAGATACAACAGATATAATACAGATAATACAAACAGATATAAGAACTGTTCTATTTTTTGTCGATGTTGGTTTTATGCAGTTTCACATTCTTTACAAAACAAAGATAATATGGTGTTTTATTAACAAATTACAATTATAAAGAAAGCATTTAGGTGTTAACAAACAAGAATTTATTAACAAAACTGCTGATGTCTTTCCAAAACGTATGTTTGAAAGCCAAGTAGATTTGCAGTAATGTGACGTCATCGGCAGTCGAAGGACCCCGAGCCGATCCTGTACCGACACCAGCAGTAAGTCGGGCTCGTTCCCAGTGAGAGTTGGACTCCGCCAAGGCTGCCCTTTGTCACCGATTCTGTTCATAACCTTTATGGACAGAATTTCTAGGTGCAGCCAAGGTGAGGAGGGCATCCGTTTTGGTGGCCTGAGGATCAGATCTCTGCTTTTTGCAGATGATGTGGTCCTGTTGGCTTCATCAGAACGTGATCTTCAGCTTTCGCTGGAGCGGTTCGCAGCCGAGTGGGAAGCAGCTGGGATGAGAATCGGCTCCTCTAAATCTGAGACCATGGTCTTGATTCGAAAAAGGGTAGAATGCATTCTCCAGGTCAGGGATGAGGTCCTGCCCCAAGTGGAGGAGTTTAAGTATCTCGGGGTCTTGTTCACGAGTGAGGGGAAACTGGAGTGTGAGATCGATAGGCGGATTGGTGCTGCATCTGCAGTGATGCGGGCATTGTACCGGTCTGTCGTGGTGAAGAGAGAGCTGAGTCAGAAGGCGAAGCTCTCGATTTACCGGTCGATCTACGTTCCTACCCTCACCTATGGTCATGAGCTTTGTGTAGTGATCGAAAGAACGAGATCACGGATACAAGCGGCCGAAATGAGTTTTCTCAGAAGAGTGGCTGGGCCCTCCCTTAGAGATAGGGTGAGAAGTTCGGTCATTCGGGAGGGGCTCAGACCCGCTGCTCCTCCACATCGAGAGGAGCCAGTAGAGGTGCATCTGGCATCTGGTCAGGATGCCTCCTGGACGCCTCCCTGGTGAGGTTTCCCGGGCACGTCCAACCAGGAAAAGACCTAAAGGTAGACCCAGGACACGGTGGAGGGACTATGTCTCTCACCTGGCCAGGGAACACCTTGAGATTCCCCCAGAGGAGCTGGCCCAAGTGGCTGGGGAGAGGGAAGTCTGGGCCTCTCGCCTTAGGCTACTGCCTCCGCGACCCGACTCCGGATAAGCGGATGAAAATGGATGGATGGAACAAAACTTCATACCAGTGAATTAACCCTTATCCAAACAAACGGAATTTTCAAGCATTACCTCTTTATCCTCACAGAGTTTGGAGAGCAGATACACCAAAGGGTCGAGGTTGCGAACATTTTTGGATTTGAGCTCATCGTACTTCCTCAAGAAGTCTTCAGGGGTTTTGGAAAACTCAGCTAATTTCACCTGAAAATGATACAAAAGACCATTTGAAAGCAAAAGTCTGAGTTCATATGTGATAAAATTCCTCATCACTGCTCTACCTAACCTAAAGCCATTTTATGCACATGTGGTACAATTAGGAGATAAACCACTGTAGTGTTATTGTCAGCTGGTTACTGAAGGCTCTCGGTCGGTCTTGTTGAGTATAAACTTCTCCAAAGACATATGACCAATGAAAGAAGAGGTTAAAAATAACCTGCAAAAAAATTAGCTAGTTTAGTATTTTTGTAATTTTGTATTTTGACTAAATCCCATAAAGAAATGTGTATGACATTTGACAACTATAAGAGCTTGTTTACAAGAGCATAGAGATTTTATTTCAAGTTTATTTAAATGAAATTCAACAATCGTCTTCTAGAGTTGTAAATGTAAACACTGGGGCCCATTTTAGTGGAAATAAGATAAATCGGGTATTGAATATCAGCATTCTCTGAAATATGGATCATATTTTCCTTGTTTTCAGTTTCAGTACCAATTACTGTCAAAGTGATATCATTTACTGAGGTTCTTTTATCAAGGACTTTAACATGCCTGGTGTGTGTGTGTGTGTTCCCACCTTAGCACTATGAGCAGAGACTGTTGTGGTAACATAAGGAGTCCTGTGTTTCTGCAGTAAGTCGATGTACCCCTCTGCTCCATCACCTCCTCGCACCTGCAGCAGGCTGAGCAGCTCGTTCACGTCGTGGTGGATCCTGAATTCACTCATAGCTCAGACAGCAGCTCGCCTGGTGATTTTAGTTAAAGCAAATCAGAAATTAACTAAGACAACGTCTTAGCTCAATGGTGCCATTCAAACTGAAATTAGAGCCGCTGATTTGTACCAAAAATAATCCGAAAAAGCGTAGAATAATAAATACATCTCCACTTAACGATTTTAGACTTATTAGCTTGTTGTCGTGGCGATGAGAAACAAAAATGTCGCGTTTTAAAGGCTAGTTGCTAACTAGCTTACATGATGATGCTACATTGTGTGTAGCTTAGCCAAAAGGCAAATGTAACAACACAAGGTTTCTAACCTACATGAAAGGTGTAATCAAACTCTGCAGTCAGCGTAATATCTGGTGAACGTATCAAAAACAAAACAATAGCGCTGATAACAAACGCGCCCAACAACACTCAAATTGTTCTTCTTCGTTTGAGTATTCACACATCTGCGGCGCCACACTGCCCCCTATAGGTACACATTAGGTTGTTCTGTGAGTATTGGGCTGCATTAATAATATATTTAGTCTGGTTTGCCTGGCTAGTGCTGCATGGTTCAATAGAAAAAAACAATTACTGGAAACAGACACTACAGGGATTCATCAGTCGGACGGGAACAAGTTATTGGACTCAGACAGATCCAGTGAGCACCTTTTTAAAGACAATGTGCCAAAATGCAAAAAAAAAATAAAGGCTACACGTCTACAGCACTATTAGACACTCAATTAAACAGTTAATCAGCAAAAAAAGGTTGATTTTGATGTGACAGATTCCTGTTTAAGGAGCAATCATGCAAGGACAAAAGCACACAAATACAGGGCAAGGACCTGTGCTAAAGTATCAGAGAGTTATTTTATTTATTTAGGAATCTCCTAACATCTTTATGCAGATGACATCCAACCATACATCTCCTTTAAGCCCCACAAGATGCTGACCCAGCTATCACCTTGGATTCTCATGTCAGTTGTCTTGCTCGTTCGTCCTTCTTCCATCTCAGGAACATTGCTAAGCTGAGTCCCATTCTGTCCCGCTCTGAACTTGAGACAGATCTCCACACCTTCATCTCCTCACGCTTAGACTACTGCAACTCTCTTTTCACATGTCTGAGCAAAACCTCCCTGAACCGTCTACAGGTGGTTCAGAATGCCTGTGCTCGTCTTCTGACCAAGTCCTCCAAACACACCCACATCACCCCGCTTCTCCTCCAGCTTCATTGGCTGCCAGTCAACTTCATTTTCAAGATCCTGGTTCTGGTCTTTATGGCCTTACATGGACAAGCACCATCATACATTGGTGATCTTCTCATTCCCTACACCCCCAGCAGGTCCCTGAGGTCCAGCGACCAAAGCCTACTGGTTGTGCAGCACACCAGACTGAAAACCAAAGGTGCCAGATCATTTTCTGCGGTGGTCCCCAGACTCTGGAACTCTCTCCCCCTGAACCTGAGATCAGTGGACTCAGTGGTCTCCTTTAAAAAGCAGCTGAAAACAGTCTTGTTCAAGCTGGCTTTTGCATGAAATTTGTCATCACCCTCTCCTTGTTCTGCTCTTATCCCGCCTTTCCCGGGATCCACTGATTTCCCGGAGGTGTCGATATGAGTATCTATGACCTTGAACAGTATCCTTAACTTATCCACAAGACAGCAATACGCCTGTGAAGACACAAGACTCTTTATCAAGTCCTTTTAATAAAATTATCTTTTGTGACTCAAAACATTACTTTCTAACATTACAGGTTGTTACAATCATATTCTGTGGTACCTACAATATGCTTGTAAATCTAAACGGTTTTAATAATGGTGAATACTCTACAGTAATGAATGATGGGTTAACATGAATATTTATTCCCATGATTAATTTCAGATCTTAAATTACACCAGATTGGTATATTTGTCGAATTTAATAATGATAATAATATTGTTATGAATGGTTCACATATTCACTTCACAGTAATGTTTAATAAGATTTACTCCACATTAGGTGAAATAACCTCTCTAAGTGTTAGAGAAAGGAGTGGTGTCTGAGGGTTTTGATAACACCCACTTTAACTTGTCATTTTCTGATTTGTCCAAATTGATAAACAATAGTTAATAAAAGCTTGTTCACTTCCTGAACAGCCAGTTTTAGCAAGCTACCCGGTTCGGCCGACTGGGGAAGCAAAGCATTAGGAGCCATCCTCCTTTTTGACCTCAAGGTCAAAACCTTCTTTGCAAACTTTATCACATGTTAAATAGTTCCGCCAGATTCCAGCAGTCACCTGGAAGGTATCTCAGACCAGACGTTTGGTATTTGTTTAGAGTTACGGGCTCCAAATACCGCAGAAGTCAACGCCATCAGCAGCCTGTCCGTACCGACCTCTCCAGACCCTTGGATCACACAAGGACCTTCACCACAAGGGTTCAGAGACTCTGCACACTGGCGTGGGATGGTTTTTATTAATTGATAGTTTGTTAAACCATACAGTCAGACTGATTTTACAACCCAGACATCACAAGCTTCTAAGACACGTAATCAGGTTACATAAAAGCTAAGCTTACATTCCATTATTTCATTCATTGTCTCAGTTGTCTTGTTTCAACCGTCAGTCATCATAATTTGTTCTGTGTCATCAGTAGTATTAAATATACTTTTATAAAAAAGGATCAATAATATTGATAGTTCATTTGTATATGGAATAACACATCTTATCGATCATTTAATAAAAGTAACCACTTACATCACATTACAGCTGTGATGAGTACAATAAGTTGTATGAGAGGAAAATAAAGTGGATGTTATAATTACTTTTCACGATGTAAATAACCACAATGTTACTAAATTATTAGCAAAACATACTAAAAGAAAGTCATAAAACTGTGGGAAAAAACTTTTTTTCATTGTGGAACAATTATTTTTCATGATCACATTTAAATTAGCAAGGTTATGGCACACAGGTGCCAGTTATTGCATTAAAGAGCAAGTCACCCCCAAATCAACAATTTTTTCCTGATAAACTATATAAATGCGTGTCTAATCGTGCTGCAGACACGTGTAGTCAATAGTTTTGCACTTTAGTGCATTTTAGTTAAAATTTAAATTTTCTGCCTGAAACTGTCAGTGTTGTGCCATTGTCAGGTAAAAACTCTTCACTGCATTTGAATTTAAATCTGCCACTGCTATTGGCTAAGAGGTATGCTATGATGTAAACTGGTACATTATGATGTCACAATGTCGTGAGTGTGTGTATTTGTTAGTGGCTCCACCCTCTCGGTCTGCTAGGCAACAGCATTTGTTGCATTGTTCAAACATGAAGTGGGAGTGAATTACGCTTCTTGTAAGGGGTGACTTGCTCTTTAAGGATTAAATAGTTTATTTTGGTCTGATCAAACATACATTACATATTTGAACATTTCTAAAGCATTATTGTTAGTAAGAGTGATTTATTTCTACCTCCATTTGTTATTTTATAATTTAGGTATTTATTTTTACTTATTTTCTATTTTGTCTTTTAAACCACAAGGATTTTCATATGACTTACAAGCAGCCCTATTATATTGAATTACTACATTAGTATTATAGTATTACTTTATAAATGCTGTTCCCTCTCCTCCTCCTCAGTCTCCCAAGAGAATAAATACCGATTAAAGAGCAAGTCACCCCCTAAAAAACTTTTTTTTTGCTGACAAACTAAATAAACGAGTGTCCAATCGTGCTGCAGACACGTGTAGTCAATAATTTGCTACTTCAGTGCATCTTAGTTCAAATTTAAATTTTCTGCCTAAAACGGCAGTGTTGTGCCGTTGTCAGGTAAAAACTCTGCACTGTATTTTAATTTAAATCTGCCACCGCTATTGGCTAAGAGGTATGCTATGATGTAAACTGGTACATTATGATGTCACAATGCTGTCGTGAGCCTGTGTGTGTGTGTGTGTGTGTGTGTATTTGTTAGCAGCTCCTCTTTCTCGGTCTGCCAGGCAACAGCATTTGTTGCATTTTTCAAACATGAAGTGGGAGTGGAGTTAGACTCTGGTAGGGGGTTGACTTGCTCTTTAAGTATTTGTGTGTGTGTGTGTATATATATATATATATATATATATAGAGAGAGAGAGAGAGAGAGAGAGAGAGAGAGAGAGAGAGAGAGAGAGAGAGAGAGAGAGAGAGAGAGAGAGAGAGAGAGAGAGAGAGAGAGAGAGACACACACACACACACACACACACACACACAGACGTTTTATGAGTTTATGTAACATTTCCATAGTGCACCTCCTGGCATATATTCTTTGTTCAATTTTGTATACAATTTGTTTATATGCGTAATTTGTTCAATGAAGTTTGAAAAAATAAGTTAAAAAAGCTAAATAACTGCTTTCCTCAGTGACTGCCTACAAAGGGGGCAGCCAGTTTGTTACTAAAGGTAAGATTAATGTAATTAAATTTTTGTTTTGGGAGTGTATAAGTTGGTTTACATTTGTTCGGTTAGAACATTTTTTCCGTGCATGTGCTTTTACTTTGAAACACGACGACACGTCGGAAGTAAACAGCAATCACGTTGCAACCAACCCGGAAGAATTGCCCTGTCTCTGATTAACGTTTGAATAGACAAGAATGATCCATGTATGTAGTAAAGGAACGATTAACGACGATACTGCTGTGATTCTCTAGCTGATAACGTCGTGTTTGTGTCCTAATCTGGGGTGCTGGCGGTGGAGGTGGCGGGAACGCCCTGATGCCATCGGAGAAAAGCCTCCGCTCTGTTTACAAGTCCCCGCAGTGTGTCGTTAACTGATCGTGCTACCGTTTGTGTCGTTCGGGACGGGAAAAAATGGCTGAATTGCATGTTGTAGAACCGAGCGGAACCGAAACCATAGAGCAGTCCGAGCACCGAGATGTCCGGGGCTCGGTGCGCCTGGCGTCGCCCACTCTCATGGTTCCACCACGGTGCAGCAGTCTTCTCAGCCCCGGTGGAGTCTCCAGCGGCTGCAGGTCGGGGTTTGGCTTCCCGTTGAAGAGCAACCCGAGCTCACCATCCGAACCGGGGGAGAAGCCGGGCTCACGCTGGGTTCGACTCAACGTCGGGGGGACCTACTTCATCACGACCAAACAGACGCTGTGTAGAGACCCCAAGTCCTTCCTGTTCCGACTGTGTCAGGAAGACCCGGACCTGGACTCGGATAAAGTCAGTGAGCTTCTGTCTAATTCGTCCGCTTATACCTTTTTATTTACACGTAACAATCATTAGTAAAGTTGTTTTTGTTTTGCTTTAGTATTTTTTATTATTGTCAAGCATCATTGGTGTAGCTCTGTTCTGGGAGTCATAAAGATGAAGCTATTTCACATAAAACTAACAGCAAAAGTTCAAATGACAGATTCACATACAATCAAAAGTAAAGTGTACTTAATGACAGGGCATGATTATTATGCAGTAAATACGCTCTACAATAAAACTGAATCAAATGATAAAATCAGACAATTCAAAGGGGAAAGTCATAAACAGAAAAGAGACTTCGCATCAGAAAACGGTGATTAAATATGTCATGTCAGACTTACAACACAAACTGTCACTTCTGATTACAATAGAACAGTATAACTTATTAGATAAATTACATTTATTTCTATCTGAATGAACTAGTGTGACACTCATTGTCTCATTTGTTTGTTTGAATCAGACCTCTGATGAACCTGACCACCCTTCATCACTGTAAACCCATCAGAACAAGTTGGATCATTGACTTCAGCCTGAAATGATAGTCAAGTGTTATCTGAGTCTATTTGGGTTGTGATGAGTCAACGAGTGATTAAAGCACTGTTCACCATTCAAAACCACTAGGCAGAAATTATAATGAAGCTCACTGCTGTTTGTGATAGAAGCAGCATCATAATTGTCGAGGTTTGAGGCAGGATGCTCTGAACAGTCTCCTCAACCAGATATCAGCCTGCAATATCTGTTTTTCTGTAAAACTTGCATTTGTTTATTTTTAAAAGTCATAATGTAGGTTTATTTTGATTATGTTCCAACTGTAGCCCACCAGTTACACATTTTAATGATTTTTTTTACTGTTAGTTTAATTGACAATGCCTTTCTCTCATTGGAAATAAAAAATCAAAATTTAGAAACTTTGATTCAAAATGTTGTTGAAATACACACAAATACACATTCCAGAAGCTGTTGTGGTCAGCTTCTGGAATGGGAATGGGTGAAAAAGCTGCCAGTGACCAAAGAAAATCAGGAGAACATTTTTTGAGTCCAGTTTGAGAGATGACAGGAAAGTCTGGCTGCTGGGAGGCTAAATGTAAAGAAACTTAAAGAAGAGCTTCCCCAGTGCCTTCTGGAGGCGTTGGTATATCTGTAATGGGTCAAAATCAGCTGATAATGTTTAGTTTTGGTGATACTGAATGTTCTGATCTAGGCTGGTGAAGATCCTCACTCATCCAGGGCACGGTGATCCTAGACCATTAGGAAAACAAAAACAACTGGACTTATTTATTTACACGTTTACAGTTATTTCTCCCGTGGATTGTTGCAGTAAAGCTGCCAAACGTTGTGTGATTACAGGACGAGACGGGGGCCTACCTCATCGACAGAGACCCCACTTACTTTGGCCCAATCCTGAATTACCTCCGACATGGAAAACTGATCATGGATAAAAATCTGGCCGAGGAAGGTAAAACCTTTAAAACCGGACCCAGAGCAGATTCTGTCAACGAGCACCGGCATCAGTTCGGTTCCCTTGTGTTCCAGGTGTTCTCGAGGAGGCCGAGTTCTACAACATCGCCTCCCTGGTGAGGCTGGTGAAGGAGAGGATACGGGACAATGAGAACCGAACATCTCAGGTACTAAGCAGTAGCCTCAGGCTGGAGGCACGTTCTGTCCCTGACTCCTGTTGGTGTTCTGATGGATGATGTGTGTGTGTGTGTGTGTGTGTGTGTGTGTGTGTGTGTGTGTGTGTGTGTGTGTGTGTGTGTGTGTGTGTGTGTGTGTGTGTGTGTGTGTCTTCCCTCAGGGCCCCGTGAAGCACGTGTATCGAGTACTACAGTGCCAAGAAGAGGAGCTCACACAGATGGTCTCCACCATGTCTGACGGCTGGAAGTTTGAGCAGGTACAGATACAGCAGATCTTTATTCCTGTTTTGGTTCCTGTGTTCATGAATTTGAATGCCAGTCGACCTAGAAACCATTCCAGAAAGTTCTCTGGTGATTCATAAATAATGAGTTTATTAGATATGAGTGAGACTGAATGTTCAGCATCAGAATGAGATTGCGATGCTTAACAAAAATAATTTGGTGGCTAAAATCTCACTTCTTAGCCTATGTGTCCCACATTTTTCGTCTTGTGAGTGCAAACAGCTTCTTAATTTCACAAGTGGTTCTAAATCAGGTCTGATGCTTTCCAAAGCAACCTCAGTCTGAGCAGTCATGTCTCCTTTAATGAGCCAGTTCATTCCATTTTAATCTTTGAGAGCAAAGGCAGGCACAACATCTGATAAAACATGACTGTTGGCACTACTGAGATGTCATTTTATCTTAAATAAAAGTTATTTGTGTCAGCCTGAATTTATACATGGAAATGAAACGGTCCTTTTGAGTGAAGTTCCACCCCCACCCACTTAGACAAAATGCGCCTACAGCAGCGTCTTAGGTGAGTCAACTGTTGCATTGTCTATGGTAGTCTACTGCAGTGGTTCCCAACCTTTTTTTATGAAGACCCTCTTTCCTGTGTCCAAGACAAGCCAGGGCCTCCCAACCTTTTTTTTTGCTTTTCAGTCCATCGGTCCCAGCGTGCTCTCTATAATTAATGCTTTTCTGATTTCTGGTCAGGTCCCTGCTTACTTTAAGAACGCTGTAATACATACACTTCATTAAAAAATCAAGTATTATTGACCCTTCTCTCCTTAGCAGCTTCAGACCCATCTCTAAACTTCCGTTCATCTCCAAGATCTTGGAAAAGGTTGTGGCTAAACAGCTCACAGCTGCTCTTGATGAACATAACATCTATGATAGCTTCCAGTCAGGTTTTTGTAGAGCTCATTCTACTGAAACAGCTCTTCTTAGGGTCTCTAATTACCTTCCGACTCACAGTGATGCAGGGTTCTGTTCTGTTCTGTTCTGCTGGACCTGACTGCAGCCTTTGACACTGTTGACCATCACCTGCTACTGGAGAGGCTGAGAGACTGGGTAGGCCTATCAGGATCTGCTCTGGAGTGGTTCTCTTTCTGAGCGTTCCTTCTCTGTGACCGTCTCCAAGTTGTGGTCCTCCACCACCTCTCTTACCCATGGTGTCCCACAAGGTTCTGTGCTGGAGCCCCTACTCTTCCTCCTCTATCTGCTTCAACCGCATTATAGTAACGGAGTAACGCGCCACTTTACATGCCCAGTAACGATAGCGGCGTTGCACCAATGGGAAAAGTAATTAAATAGATTGAGATTATCAAGGTTACCTAAAAAAAAAACGCCATTAGTAATGCTGTTGTACCTAAACACCATTACTCCCAACACTGCTGATGATGCAGTTCCTGATAGGCCTACCCATGTGTTTGCAAGCTTTTCCAAAAAATTCTGAAAAATTGCAGTTGAGACAGGAAATGCATCAATGCAGCCAAAACGATTTGGGGGTATCCTTCGTGAGAAAATAACAATATCACAGGACGAAAAGCTCCAAAAAGTGGATTTACCATGACACGGCCCCTTTAACTCAACCGGACACTCACTTCAGATCTCTGCTTCCGTCCCTTGAGAAAGATGATCTCTGTCTCTCCTGAAATGGAAAGGCCGATTCATGCCTGTGTTTCCTCTCGGCTGGACTCCTGTAATGCAGTCCATACATGTTGAACTAAAACTTCCATAGACCAGTTGCAGACTTTAATGCTGCTACCACACTCGCGTCTAAACCTCATGTCACTCCACTGCTAATGTAGCTTCATTAGCATCCGGTACATTATCATGTGCACTTTACGATCCTGGTTCTGACTTGGAGCGTCCTGCATGGTGTAGCAGAGGCAAATGTGTTATTTATTTGATATTCTGTATAAATATAAAATATTACCTTGCTTGATCTTTATTGTAAATATCAGAAGATTATAGGGCTTAATCAGAAGATTCTAGGATTTTTGCTTTATTAAGTAATTATTATACACACTTCGTTTTGATTCAGAAAAGAGTCAGGTTTATAAAAGTAAGAAATTATTTTATTACAATTATAACACGACAAGTGAACTTAGCATTTACTGTGAGTGGATGGAGCTAAAGGTGATGTAGGAACCCATGTGTAAATGCGGTGTTGGCCAGAACTTCCGTATCTCAGAGAGCTGAGTTCTGGATGTAAAAGAATTTGGATTGCTTAAGCTATGAAGTTGTTATCGTCAGAAGCACATTCAGACGCAATCTCTCTGTGTTCTACCTCACCCTTTGATGACCCTCGTCACGGATCCGGAGGTCAGAGAGGTCGGATGACCTCGGGGCACCCAGGTCCGGTAGATTGACCACAAGCACTGACTTCTGCAGTCCCGAGTTGTCACCAGGCAGCACAGGTTGGAATTAGCTTGCGTCTCAGGAATAACTCTTAAGGAGTTGAACAATATCAGCTTGTTTCTGCAGGAACTTTTTTGCTGTCTCAACTTCGTAGGTGCAAAAAGGTTTTGACGACATGTTAAAATCTTTGATGGTTAAAGAGGTTTTGCTCAGATGGCCGGTCTGAGCTTTCTCGAGAACTGAAGAACCACTAAAAGTGATCTAGTTTTAAGGAATTGATATTATGATTTTCACAGCCAATCAGAGGCTGACAAGTTTGAGGATATTACCAATAATCTCAGAAACACGCCTTCTTTGATCTGGAGGCTCTGATCTGGGTAAAAGGTTAATTATGTGTTATGGATTTAACTTAACCGTACTTGTTATTGTGTGGAGCAGGTGTGAGGACCTTGTCGTCAAAACACGTTGAACACATTGCTGGTTCTATTAGACAAACGGCATCCATTCAGTGAGCACAGATTAATGAAGCTTTTCATTTTACTATAATTATCATAAGTAGTAATAAACAAATGTTTATTTAATGATTATCTAGATTATAAGTCATAGAACTGATTGGAACTGGATCTTCTTTCTTCTGGAGGCAGACAGATGGGACCTTGGGAAAGAAAGTTATTGTTTATCTTTCAGACTAGCAGAGTCTGAATCCCAGCTGGTGTGAAGCAGACAGATTTAAAGGGAACACAAGCAATGTTGTGTCTCCTTTCTGACCAGATGTTGAATAGATGGTAAAAGGTCAAACTGTGCCTAAACTGACCATTGCTGGACGCTACAATGGACTAACTCCAGAGTACACCAGTGGTTTACACCTCACCAGGTCACCTGGAGCCTCTGACCAAGGCCTGCTTTTAGTCCCCTTTAAAAACAGAACCACTAATGGTGACATAGCCTTTTACTCTGTGGCTCCTAGTCTCTGGAACACTCTTCCTCTGCTACTGGGGTCATTGGACTCGGTAGATTCCTTTAAGAGTCAGCTTTTCTTTTTAAATTGGCTTATGTTGGATGTATCTGTTTTTCTTGAGCACTTGGTGTGATTTTTATCTTGAGAGGTGCTATGTAAATAAAATTATACTTTACATCTTTGAAGCATGACAGACGAACGTATTCTGTCCTAGAGGAGGTGGGAAGCAGCAAGCTCACATGATGGAATAGAATAGAATAGAATAGATTAGAATAGAATAGAATAGAATATTAATCCCACAGTGGGACTTTACTTGCGTAAACGCAGCACGTGATGTCATGTGGGTCACTTTGAAATCTATTTAAATGACAGTTTTAACAACATAACATGAAAGGGATCCCAGAAAAGAAGTGTTGTGAATGTGGAAAAATGATAAATAGAAAATAATCTTTAATATCATAGTTTCACTTTAAGCTGTTTGTGATTTTATTAGACGTTTCTACGTTTGGCATGTAATCGATCTAGTGATGCTTGAGGCCAGATGTAGCTGCTGCTGTTGTTTTTTGGGTCAAACGTTTAGAAATCATTGAATGACTAAAAGCCGTATTGAATGTGAATCTGGATCTAGATGAAGGGCCAGAGTTACACACAAACCTGGACGGGTGAACAGCTTACATGTAATGAAACAGTTACCAGAGTAAATCTCACCTCAGACCTGCTGCATGTTTGCTACCGTGTAAATAAACTGGATGGCAATAATCTGCAAACTATTTAATCAGCTAACAGGTCCCTCCTAAATTCAGCTTCTGTTTTTGCAAAAATAAATCATGTTTTTAAACAGTAAATGTGCAAGAAGTTTTCTTTTGATTCTGTTGTAAAAGTACCAATTTAGTTCCCTTACTTTGGCAATATAATAACTTTTATCATGAAAACATTTGTTCTAGAAAATGAATCATCGTCTGCTGTTATACACACACACTCACACATACACACACACACACACACACATATATATATATATATATGTGTGTGTGTGTATATATATGTATATGTGTGTGTATGTATGTATATATATATATATATATATATATATATATATATATATATATATATATATATATATATATATATATATATGAATGTGTGGAACTCTGAAAAAGCATTTTTAATGATTGTTTCTCATTATAATCAGTCACTCTGAGTTTTTCATCCAGGCTGAACATGAAAATAGTCTCCTACGCCTATCTCCTCCATTAGCTTCTGATAGAAAATAGACAGTGAAACTCTAGGATTTAAAAATCCTGACAGATCTACGTCACACTGACACTTAAATGATAAATGACCCGCACTTGTATAGCGCCTCTCAGAGTGAGGACTCCAAAGCGCTTTACACTACAGTGTATCATTCATCCATTCACATACTCATTCACACGCTGATGGTGATGAGCTACGATGTAGCCACAGCTGCCCTGGGGCGCACTGACAGAGGCTTTAACTTTCATGGACTCATACATCTTGACTCATGACAGGGGAGGCTGTTGTTGTTTTAGCATCCAGCAAACAGCAGAGAGCGTCTCAGCTAGTAGAAGCTAACTGTTAGCATTAGCAACTTCACCACACAGCAGAACTTCTCCAGGCTTGTTATTTGTGGCGATAAAACATCAGCGTTGCAAGTCAGTGGTAGAGTCGTGTTGTTGTTTTCCAATCTGAGGCAAGATGTCCAAATATCACAACTGTGCTGTCCCTCTCTCTGCTGCAGCTGACTTCTCTGCGCCAATTCAAGCACTTCTGGGCTATTTTCACCCCCAAGTACAGCTTGCATGGCATTCATTCCTACCAGAGACCACTGCAAATGTATTGATTAAATGAGTGTACCACACCTTTAAATCTTCTAGTGAAAGTTGTTCGGATTCTGTTTGTTGGTGCACAAATGGGATTCCTGTTTTTGTTTTCCTCTTCAGCTCATAAGCATCGGCTCCTCCTACAACTACGGTAACGAGGATCAGGCAGAGTTTTTATGTGTCGTTTCCCGAGAACTCAACAACTCTACCAACGGCATTGTGATAGAACCCACTGAGAAAGCCAAGGTGAGCCTTCCTTAAAACAATTACTTACAACTCCAATTGCTGGATAGTGGTTTCCAGAAGGAATCAGGACGTTTACTGGTGGTTTTAGAAGGGTTTTAAAGTGAACTGGTTATCTGCATCAAGCTGTTTTCTCTCCTCTCCATAGATCCTTCAGGAGCGAGGCTCACGGATGTGAAGAAACTTTGATGAACAGGAACAAAATGAGCACATATTCCAGTTTCCATTGACCACTGTCCTCCATCAGTACGCTCCCATCTCCTCTGGCGTGCCTTTCCACAGCTGAGGCTCCTGGCGCCTCCTCGTCTTTGCTGCTGCAGCACCACCTTCTCTTATTTTCTCATTTCTTTTCCTCCAATTTAAAGGGATGACAAGTGAGAGATTCTCCGTTTTGCACCTTTTTGGTGTTTGGAGCTGTAGCAGAGCAGGCTGCGATTGCTGATTGAGAGGATGGATGGATGGATGGATGCACAGCACAGACCTACATTGAACCATCATGTCCATTTTGCAGAGGCTCACTTGGCTCTTGTTGGTTTAGGAGAATGCTTCTCAGGACTCTCATCTTGGGATTAAAATGCTTCCTAAGCCTGAAGAATCCACCTAGTGTCAGATGGAGCATCAGCCCCTCTCAGCTCTTGCTGACTCTTTCAGGAGGAGGAGACGGAGCGGTCGGTTTGTTCCAGAGTCCGACGTCTTTCAGGGACGAATCGAGACACACTGCTGTCATTTTCTGACTTCTGTTTGAGGATTTTACCACGCAAAAGAGAAACAGACAGACTTGAATTCCACTCGTGCACAGTTTGTCCAGGCATGTGAGGAAGCTATATTTAAAAAAACACACACACACACACACACACACACACACACACACACACATTTAATGTCTATATGATGAAATTATGTGAAAAAAGTGAATGCAAATGGTGTAATTATTGATTTGTTTATCATAGTTGTCAAATATTGACATATTTTTGTGGGGGAGTCTCCTCAGAGACGGATATCAGTTCTCATGATGAGTTGAAGCACCCATGACTCCCGTGTGTGTGTGTGTGCGTGTGCGCGCGGTGCCTCTGCTGTGTCTTGGCTTTTCCATCTGAGCCTTCTTCGTCGTCACATAACAACTTATAGCTCCTTTCATGTTCTAGTGCATATCTTATAATTGTATTTGGAGATAAGGAAACTCATGCCATCAGTGCAGATGGGCGTTGGGGCGGGGTTGACCACAACCCGTTTTTTCAACTGCCTCAAAACCTTTAAGCCCCGGTCTGTCCCAGGCCTTGCTCCCATCATGCAGTTCTTTGATCAGCTCTCAGCTGAACACCCAGATGGCGACTCACTGCAGCATGTAGCACCCGTACAGCTGACATTTACCGCCCACCCAGGCCTGCATCAACATCCAGTGTATCTAACCTAATTCAGAGACTGAGCCACGTTGACACATATCACAGAAAACTAAAGCAGCTTTTTCACATTTCAAACTTGGCTTCAGAAAGCTGAGGAGCTTCCACTCTTTTCATTATATCACACATGTTTATTGACTTTATCATTTCATCCTTTGTATAAAAGGTAAATGCAACCAAACAGAACATGAACAAGAGAATTTGGATGTGGGAAAGGAGCCGGTTTTGCTTCCTGACATGTTCAGGCCAGCCGCAAAGCTCAAACTCTGATGTGACGTTTTCCTTGATTTTTGGTGTGTGTGTGTGTGTGTATATGTGTGTGTGTGTGTGTATGTGTGTGTGTGTGTGGGTGTGGGTGTGTGTGTGTGTGTGTGTGTGTGTGTGTGTGTGTGTGTGTGTGTTCCGAGCAGACGTGGCTGCTAATAATACCCAAATATTTCATTGAGGAGCACTTTTTTTCCCTTTGCTAGCTGGGTCCTTACAGAGCACCTTGGGTGTGGTTTTCTTTCGTCTGTGTTCAGTGTCGTGCCTTGATCTGTGTTGTGCACAGTTGTTCTTCCCTCTTGTCAAAAGGATCTCTCATACCTTAAAAAAGCCAAAAGGCTCCTACTTAAAGTGTGTGTAATGCAATTTTTAGCCGAAAAACTTGATCTCTTGTATTGTTTTTTTATGTAACAAAACAAACCCTGATTGCTTATTTACCTGAAATTTGAACCAAATCGCTGACGTTCAAACACACACCTGAAGATTAAAATTTCCATCCATGTCTGGTGGAAACATTTCTGACTGTTGGAAACTATTTGTGGAGCTGACTCGTGAAAGTTGTCACAGCAAAACAAACAAACAATGAAAGATTTTCCCTTTTGCTTGAATCGTAGGATCTTAAACTCCCAACAGTGAACGTTTTCAAAGCAATTCATTTTACTATAAACCTACAATCATTTCGGTCATTTTTACAGAATATATTTTATTGAGTTGCATGTTAAAGTCCCATTTATGAATTCAGTTTGTAATGTTCTTAATTGTACCTTTTTATAAACTTGAGATTGTTCCTATCCTGGTGACTAGTTAAGTGATTCACAGCTTAAAATATATATAAGTCTTAAAAAACGAGATGAGCAATGGCTCTTTTGGTTGTTCTTTAAACTAATTACTTAAAAAAACTGTATTATACCAGCCCTGCTAACGGCATCTTGGTAAATGTTGAGGGGGAATCCTCTATGTTCACCACCACAGTGCTAAAAAATAAAGTGAAAATCAAAAGATTTATTTGTGCAAAAAAGAAAATAATACATTAGTATACACTAACATTACTTTAAAAAAATATGATTAAAAGATAAATAAAACATTTAGCATGTCCTTTGTGTGACAACGTTAGCATTTATCATGTCGTATCAGTGTTTTTTCTTCACAGATCTAGGACTTTAGGCCTTTAATAAGCAGGCTTTATACAAAATTTACAACACTAATTTTCAGCACAACATTTTAATCTTGCACATACTTCTAACTACATTTACCCTTTCTCCTGTTTGGTCAGTTCAGCACTGAGATACAGCATATTTTGTACAGCAGCGCCCAAAATTTGCTGCAAAAAAGTTGCAAAAAGAAAGTTGGAGATATTCTTAAAAGTCCTTTAATATTATTGATCCCTGGAGCCAGTTTTAATGAGATGATTCAAAAGTAAATGCAACAAAAAGTTGGCTATTTATTTTTATTATTTTCTCCTAAATTCAGCACAATGGTGCAGAAGCTAACAGGCTAATGGAAATAGTAGAGCCAGGTCAGCTTTTATTCTGTTATTCTATATTTTCCACATTTATATTAAAAGTTAAGCTATAAAATAGCAGTCTGTGATTTTTTTACAGCAATCAAATGTTTGTTAAAAAGTGAATTGTTATGACTGCCAGCTGCTGTTTTGTTAGTTTGTGATTTGTTTAAGTAATAAACTATCGTATCTCCTGTTGCTCAAAGTTGAGCTTGGTGCTGATATATGAGAGTTGGCATGAACAGGATGTTAGCAGTTAGCTAAAAGAAGAATTTCCCCCAAATATTTCTCATCTTTAGCATGGCTGTTTTTACCAACAGTGTCAATCTGTCTTCAAAGGTCGGTTATGGCTAATGAATGATAATGTGCTAACACATTAAAGCTAATTATGACCTTGTTAGCAATTTGACTTGATCATTTAGTCAAAAGCCATTTTTTTTTACTAAACTTTAAAATTAGGGTAAATCTGAGGACTGGTTTGTGCTTGTTGGTGATTAACAACTATTAGCCATGCTAACATGATAAACAAATACAGTAAGAAAGGCTATACTTTAGGCATCTTAGTAAGCTAGCATTAGCAATTAGCTGAAAGCAATGCTAATCAGAGTCTCACAATTATCATGACCCAAACATTTCCTTGTAAATATATGAACTGTGTTTTTACTAAAGTAATAAATTATTAAGGGACATTTTCAAAAGATGTATCTTAAACTTTAACATTGGTTTCAAACCATTTTTACGGTTTGCTTTACTGTTTTAGCTATTAAAGAATAAATAAGCTGATGAAGTTGAGAGCCACTGATGTGATTGTCTAACTATGTGGCTTGAGAAACAAAGTAAAATAAAACTTGGCTTTAAGTCTCATCCACGACTAGTGATCTGGGTAATGTACAGTGTTAACATTCTGCAAAATAGATGTCTGTTGTTTGGGCACTGGGAAACACGAGAGCATGTGTTGTTCTAGAGATGAAGATGTTTATTCTGGATTTTATCAGACCTTTGTGTTAGTGCAAACTTAATGTGATGCATGGTGTGAGGGGCAGAGATGGTCGCATGGCTCTGTGGTTTGTAGCTGTATATTTCTTGTGTGGAACAGCAGGTGTACAATAAACCCACATGATTAATCTTCAAGCCTTTTAACTAACGTAGATATTTGGCCTAAATATTAAAATGGTTTAAATGATTTTCGCCAAATTTCAGACCCTTCTGCATACTCAGTCTTCATTTCTGTATTAATTCATATGACCTGCAATGTGCAAAACAAGACGATAAGTTGGAAAATAAAAGTTATTTGTGGATCATCTCGCCATTTAATCTGTAAACACCTGCATGCATTTGTGGACATGCACACCTGTATACTCATCTAGATGTATTTAAACTGTCACCTATTAACTTTGTGTTCATTATCAACAGTATCGATGTCAAATGTAATAATTGTCACTGCAGATTGTGGAGAAATGTTTGGAAGCTTGAAAAACAAAACATTTCGATTGTTTGTTTTCACTTTAATTTATTTTATATTTTTTCAAGATTTGTCTACTATTGTTTATTTACATGTAACAATTTTAACAAAACCCAGTCTGGTTTTTAATCATAAAATGTGTCTGTGTTTTAAAATTCTGACTATGACTATTTATTACATCTTTTTTTGTTATTGTTGATTTATTTCCCAAATGAAACATGTGGGAAGCAGTAACACTAGCCGGGCTCCTGCTCCTCCATTTTACGGGTTGAAACTGGAATTGCAACTGTTGTAAACAACCCTGCGGTAGCACTAACAAAGAGCTAACACTAACATGAGCCAACTAATACTAAAATAAACCACAAAGTTAAAAAAAATCCATAAATAATTACTTACAAATCCAGTAGCAACAAAGCCAGGTCACCATCAGTCCATGATTTTGTAGCCTCCTTTTGCTCTCTCAAACTAGTGTATGGTGCAATGTTCACAATGGTTTTAGCTTCGCTTCGCCTCTAAAAACATTACCCTCTTACTTCCAGGCTCTGCTATGATGCCATCAGTAAAAGCAAACTTCTCTTTCTTCTTGTGCTTTTTATTGACTAATTGAAAATGCTAACTGTCTCATTACAGCAAACAGCTGTGAAGCACAAAGTCCCCGCTAGAACACCTACTCACACCACAAAACTATTAAGTGTGGTTTTCTTTGTCAGCAGAGGGGTGCAGAGAGATGTCAAATATGAAACTGATCAAGTTTCTGACTCAGTTACTGAGATCAATGTTAAAGCTCTAGCTTAAAGTTTAAAAACCTATTGTTACTTTAACAAGCTTATTTATGGGCAGATGTTCTGAATTGGGTAAGCACAGGTGTGTCAATGTGGGCTGCATGCCACTCCTGCCACTGTGCATCCTGGTTCTGTCCTTGTCAACACACCACTGTTCACTTCAAGATGTTTGCTGTGAAGAAATCCATTGGCTTTATTTAAAGCTTATAGGCCGATAGATTAGATTTTCAGAAGTCTGCTTGCTTTAAGTTTCCAAATAAACAAATAAAAGCATTTAAGACCTTGACCCAAGCCTCCCAAAAACTTAACTCTGTGTTTTAATGTTGTGAAATAAATTTGCTATTCTAAAGCAGTACAACAAAAATAATATTTCTATTTGTAGGTTATTGTAATGGTGGTGCAACAAGTAAAGTAGTAAAACCACCAGAGGTCACCATAAACTACATTTCCAGGCTGTCAGTAGATACAAATACTCCATTCAGAATTTATTTAAAAAAAATACAAAATTTTTTTGCTAAAAGTCATCTTAATATATAAATAAAGTTATTGTTATAAAGTGAAGTTTTACATTGTAGAGAACAGAGAGTATACGTCATTGATCCCACAGTGGGGAAATTCAGACTATATACACTTAGAGAATAATTAAAAGAAAAATAATAACAAAGGTAGGTACATGTATATACACATAGGCAGTAAGCTAGTGTTGCAACCTTCATCCACTAAAAAAAAAACAGAATAAAATGAAACTTGTGTTCCAGAACTATGCAGCATACTGTAAGCAGGGCCGGATTTAGCCAGCCCTGCGAAGGGGTGCAGGTAGAAATTCGGGGGGGGCAGGTCTGGGAAATAATTTTTTGGGTGCCACATACCCCCAAATCCCTAAAATGCATTGAAAACTAGCATCATTACAGTTCTTCTATCCATATATCTATATTTTCCCTTGATCCATTCCTTACACTACCCTCTGCATTTACCCGGGCTTGGGACCGGCACAAATGGGACACTGGCTTGTTCCCTATTCGGGCTGCATTCATCTTTCTTTCTTTCTTTCTTTCTTTCTTTCTTTCTTTCTTTCTTTCTTTCTTTCTTTCTTTCTTTCTTTCTTTCTGTCTATCTATCTATCTATCTATCTATCTATCTATCTATCTATCTATCTATCTATCTATCTATCTATCTATCTATCTATCTATCTATCTAATCTATCTATCTATCTTTTAATTTTTTAATGTTTTTATCTTTTTTTATGTCTTTAATCTAGTTTATCTATCTTATCTGTCTATCCTTCCATTTTTTATTTTACTTATATATTTTTTATTTAGTTTTTTAGAATTGTTGTTGTTTTTATTTCTTTATGGCTTTCATCATTCATGACAGAATAAGTCGTCTGCTTTTCTGTGCAAAAGTCCTAACAAATCCATCCCGATCTAGGCCTGTTGTTATGGCCTTCTCATGACCCAGAATGACTAAACTTATTTTTCTCTCATGTAGCGTAGTACGGCGGAACGGGGTAAGAACACGAGACAAAGAGGAGAAAGAGCTCTCGCATGATGCTGCTGATATTCTAATCACAAGGGAGGTCACATACATGCGATGGAGCTGAGGAAAGGCATTCTTCTACCCATGTAGATATTTGCTAACGGTGGAGAGGTCTACAAACTCTACACTGTTATCATCATCAGTCTCTTTGAATTCTTTCTCCAACATTATTTTTGCAACAAGAATCTCAATGGAAAGTTTGTCACTGTCACTTCCTGCCATTTTCTGCAGAGGACTTAACATGTTAGGATCCAGAAGAGAGGGAGACTGAGGTTGAAGGCAGTTAACTGTTTTCATGAGATCGAGATTGCTTTTGGAGAATCTTACCTCCATCTCTACAATGACTATGTCCAAAATGTTGAAGAGCTCTCTTCAGAGCCTGGCTAGGAGTTGTGGAGTCTTCTGCGTGGCCCACAGTGGACATTACAACGCTACCTGTTAGCAATGAGCTTGTTTTTCTTTGTCTTTTAGCAGCTGGTGCAGGTGTGCTGGGAAAGAACTGAGCAGGAGGGAAGATAAACATTAACCTATAAAACACGGAGTAACTAAACCTAAAGACGAAGGGCAAATATAAACAACTAATAACTAGAGGGATGAGGAGGACTAACATAAAAATAGGAATTACCAGGGAGAGACTAGAAGGAAACCTGAGGGAAGCCTAGAGAAAGCTGGGGATGATAATGAGACACAAGAGGAGAACCTGAAGTGAGAACAGGAGGGGGCTGGGGACCAGAGGGACACAGAACATGACACCTGCGGTCTTCAGCAAAGTGCAGTAAGCACGCAGTTTGAGAGTGTAGTACACAAGTGTGCAAATAACTGCAGATTTGAGACAGGTAGCATTGCGTCACCGATTGCAATGCATGCCGGGATTCTGGTCGCTGAAAACTTTTTTCAAAAACCTTTATTAACAACTTTCAAACAAACCATAAAGCAATTATTTGAAATCAATTTCACTTCATTGCTGCTTTGTCTAAAACATTCAGAGTGTCAAATAATCATCCTAAAATGAACAAATTTCATTAGAAAATACATATTTTCAGAAAAGAAACTTGAGCCTTTTCTTCTGCAGCAATGACTTGTGGGTAATTCCCTTGCCTGAGGTCTGCATCACTGCAAACTTGGGTGAAGTGCAGATCAAGGCTGCAATGGGGGCGTGGTCAACTTCCGCACTTGAGAATCGGAACACCCTACACTCTCGCACCCCTGGCCAGAACGTGCAAATGAAGGGCACAAGGGTGCAAGTGCGTGTAATGAGATTGGGCCTCTTGTGTTTGAGGCCTTCTGTTTTAAACTAACCAATTAGCAAGCAGCTCATTTGCAAATTTGTGTCCTGGCTAAGTGGGAGGGGTAAACAGCTCTGTTCACAGGTTCACAGCAAGGCTGATTTAGGGGGTTTGGAGTGGCCAGTATCAGGGCTCCTGAGACAGATGAAAGCCAAAAGAAAAACAGGAGGAGCTGGAGAAAGGAACGTTTGGGTTCCTTCCTGTTTCTGTTGGCTCCAGACCTCAGCTGAAATGCATGTGTACTATAAAACATCTAATGCTAGACTTGGCTCACCGGCCCAAATTGTACATATCCTCTGAAGCAGTGGTTCAGCTTTTGACCAACTGCTTCATTTTCTTCTGTTTGTTGCTTTTTTTTCTCCATATTCTGTTGGTTTTCTGTTTGCTGCATTTTAAAAACACTAATTTAAGTTGTTATAACCTGTGTCTATGATAGGGAATGTTAACAAACAATGCTTGTCTGGGTGTGTGAACATGCTCATGGTGAATGCAACTAAACATAATTAGAGGCAGCCAGGGGGACTCTCCAAGATTCAGGCAGACCCAGGAGAAAATACCAGGAGCAGGCTTTAGGGCAGGAGCGCACATGGGCCCAGGTGTGTCACATACTTCTAATGAGGAGCGTGCAACTGAACAGAGAGAACAAACTGCTCACCAAACAAGACCCAACTAACAGCGGGGTCGTTACCAGATCCTGTGACTAAGTTCATTAAAAGCTAGTTTGTGTATTGAATCATCACTAATTATGTCTGCACTTATATCACTTTTATCCATCCACCCATTTTCTGCCAGATTCTGTGTCAATCACTGCCACAGACCCGCCCAGGCAACGCCTCCTTGTGGTGCATTTTTTAGTTTGGGTGGGTGGAGTAAGACTCTGGTATGGGATGACTTGTTCTTTAATGCTAAAAATGTCACTAGCAATTATTTAATACTTGGTGTTTTATAACCCACATCAGGCCACCACCGCAATTTTGGGGATTGCACTCAGTAAAAATGAGGCTAAATATAAAATGATAATAAATATAAAACCTTGTTTGGGATTTGTGAAACCTTTCCCTGATTTGTGAACTTCAACAAAGCCAGATTTATGCATTTACTCAGCATTTGTCCAACATTGGAACAGCTGTTGAAGTTTCACAAATCAGGGAAAGGCTTCACAAATCCCAAACAAGGTTGTATGCAATCTGCTATTATAGTAAAATAATCTGCAACAGGTTTGAACAGTGTGGGTGTTGTAGTTTTTGAGCTACAGCTGTTCCAGTGTTGGGCAGATGCTGAAAAAACTCATAAATCAGGATTTGTTTAAGTTTCACAAATCAGAGAAAGGTTTTACAAATCTCAAACAATGTCGTATGCAAACTGCTATTATTGTAGAATAATCTACAACAGGTTTGAAGAGTGTGGGTGTTGTCGTTTTTGAGCTAGAGCAGATTAAAGATGGTCAGAGTAGAGAAAATTTGGGTGTAATGGCCCTTTAGCCGTTTCCCGAATCGGAAGCTAACTTCAGCCTCGTAAAAAACGAGACCAATTATGTAACTATAAATGAGATTTGTTGCTCTGCAATAATAACAAAGGAATGAAGAGCCTGGAGGAGCTGCAGCTGTTTATCTGCTTCCTCTGCATGAGCTGAACATTGTGTTCATCCCACTAGGACCGCCTGCCATATGGGTCTGGGTTGGGTCGGGGCTTGCGCACAGGGACTCCCCCGACTGGCAGCCCAACATCCAGTCTCCGCCCTTATTACCCGGTGGTGGACGTACGTCAGTTACGAACGCCCCCCCGGATGGCCGTTGCCTGCGCGGTCAGTCACCGAGGGGCGACAATCACCACCGCCACCGCGGGGAGCTGAAGCTCAGCCCGGCTGGAGGACCGCGAGCAGCAGCAGAACAGGCGAGTAGCAGCTTCTGGTTTTTAAACACAAACGGAAGAAGGAGGTGATGATGGTGATCCGCTTCCTCCTGCTGGCTCAGCAGCTGATGTGACGGTACCGTGGTGTTTTTTTTTTTAGCTAATGACAGTCGAACCGGTTCAGCCTGACGGGGTTCGGGTTAGGAACATCTGTGGGGCTTTCAAACGTAAACAAGCCTAAATAAAGACGAGATGCCACGTGTGAAAGCACACCTAAGCGGTAAATACAGCAGGTTGCTGAGTGTGTTCTCTCTGTCAGAATAAAGCAGCTTTGTATCCTGCTACAGGCTGGCCCACATGGAAGTCAGCTGCTCAGGAACTCTTTAATCCACACTAAAAGCGTTTATTCTATTAAAATAGATACCCCCACAGAGCAGCTAAAGGGTTTACTGTCCAAGAAAAACAGCATGTGTTCAGTAACACAGAGGGTTTACTTTCCTCTTTAAAACATTTACACATCAAGCTACTGGCCCCTGGGTGTTTTTTTTTTTTTTTTTTTTGTAATCTACGGTGGTTTTATCTGGTCTAAAGTATGAGATTGTATAATCCAGATGAGCAAACAACTGTCTGGAACAAAAAGGTAAAAAGAAATAAAAACTCATAATACAAAAATTACCATCATGTTTTTGTAAAACACTACTTGTAAAACCTGAATATTTGAACAGATTTATGTTTAATTATATGTTAAAAAAGGTAAGAAGTAAAAAAAATACTGAAAAATATTCTACAAAACTGGTAGAACTTTCTATGTAAATGCTCAAGATAGAAATGTAGTAGTGTTTTTGGAAATAGGTACTTTTTTATTATACGGGGTTAGCAGGTGTAGCAGGTTAAACAGAAACACACCTGGCGGAACAGGTGGATGCAGGTCAGTGAAATGACCGAGAATAAAAGGAGCATCCCATGGACGTTCAGTCTTTTACAGTCTAATTGAAAAGGGTTTCAACTTAAGATATTTTTCGGATTTTTATGTCCAGAGAACACTCTGCAGTCACATTTCACAGATTCATCCACAAATAGAGATTTCTACCATGCAGGAAGGAAAACAAACACTGTGGCCACTCTTCTTCATAAAACGAGTCAACATGTACACTTAAACAGGTAAATGAAGTTTAAAACCCTCTATAATGGGGAAAAAATCCAGCAGAAGCATTAGCTGTTTTATCAGTGGTCTTGTTCAAATCAACAGTTAAATCCTCTGTAAGTTTGATGCTTGAAGTTCTAAGTTGGTTTTCTGGACCAGGAGGACAGCAGACTTCGATTATCTGATCAAATTACAAAAGTCTTTGTCCCAATAAATGCTTCTGAGTTCACCACCAGGATGCGGTGGTGTGTCAACAGGAGATCATTTTCCAGAGTACTAAACTGTTGATGACATGGTGTGTGGCTGTGCGTGTCAGAGGAGCTGGTGGAGTTGGTGGTTCTCAAGAAAAATCTGAGATCCTTATATATAAGACAGCAGATGGAAAAACAATTGTGGAAGACAAACTTCTAAATTTTATTGTTGTCAAAATGAGAACTCTCTCCCAGGATGAATTTGTGTTAATGGTCTCAAACAATTTCTTGTCGGAGTGGATTGAAGAATCCAAACGCTTGCTGTTTGAACTACGTAGTTCCTCTGTGCGTCACATCAGGCATAAAAGCCAACAAAAAGACTCTAATAACATCAAAGATTGTCTGAAAGTGCTGAACGAGTGTGGTGAAAACATTCCCAGGTTCGTCTCATTATTTGGATGAGCTTCCTCCTGTGGGGTGCGGGAACTTGGATGCTTCGGCTCTACTCAGCCGGATGGAAAAGCTGAACGGGGAGCTGGCGTGCCTGAGGGCGGCGGTGGAGTCTCAGGTAAAAGCGGATGATAATCTTGGTGCAGCCGTGGCGATTGTGGATCACAGGCTGAGAGTTCTGGAGGGCACCCACAACCCACCGAAGCAGCCAGAGGATTTGGAGGTACCGGCGCGAGGTCGCGGTGAGGAGAACCTTACAGCGGGACATGCGTCTGAGCCAGGAGGAGGAGGTGAGGGTGGATTGCCACAGTCCCCCACCTGGAGTACCGTTGTGAAAAGAGGAGCGACTCAAAAGCGTGGCGCACAGCGCGAAGGAGGAGAGATGGCTGCAACATCCAAGGAAGGAGCAGCGGATAAAGGACTAGCGGAAAAACATTGGGATAGTTGGAACTGGAGTAGTAGACAACATCCCAGTGATTAGAACTAAATTGGTGAGTGTTTTCGCCACTCGATTCTCCCCCACGCTGGAAGCAGACACTTTAGCATCCTACCTGTCGGAGAGACTGGGGAGGCGTGGCACCTGTCGGAAGATCAACTCCAGCAGTGGCAGATTTGGTTCGTTCCAGGTCAGTGCTGAGTGTGGCGAAGTTTCCGACATGTATGATCCACAACTTTGGCCAGCAGGGACAAATGTCCGCCGATTCTTTGAGCCAAGCAGGCGACGCTTTAATAAGACGTCTGGTGCTGAGGGTGAACTACAGCTGCAGCCCGCTGCCCCGGTAGCCTCGGCTAGCACGGCAGAAGTTCAGCCTAGTGCCGGCAGAAGGCAACATTAGCTGAAATATATGAACATAAATGTTGGATCTTATAATGCGTGGCTTACGAGTAGGTCATTCAGAGGCAGACAAGTCACGTTGTCTGGTGGTGGATAAGCTATCGGAAACGTGTGATATTCTGTGTATTCAGAAGGCCTTTCTAGCTAAGCTAGATTTAGAGGATCTCAACATTTTGCATAAAGACTTTTTTGGGGCAAGGGAGTCTACCACTGACTGTAGCACCAAGTTGGTGAGTGGAAGAATTTCTGGAGGAGTGGCTGTTCTGTGGCAAAGAAGATATGACCAGCTGGTCAGAGTAATCAGACGAGGTGGACTGGGCTATACACAGTGGTGTGAAAAACTATTTGCCCCCTTCCTGATTTCTTATTCTTTTGCATGTTTGTCACACAAAATGTTTCTGATCATCAAACACATTTAACTATTAGTCAAAGATAATGCAAGTAAACACAAAATGCAGTTTTGAAATGATGGTTTTAATTATTTAGGGAGAGAACAAAATCCAAACCTACATTGCCCTGTGTGAAAAAGTAATTGCCCCTGTTAATAATGCTTTTATAATAAACAAATGTCCTGTTGGCATATATGCTTTTATTCTGAAAGTGTGTGGTTGCTTCCGGAGGAATGGCCTTTTTGTGCGGGAGTTCAATGGTGTCATGGCGGAATAAAGGAGAAGTTCTGAACCAAGTATCAGTCTAGTTTATTGAGTAACATTGGTAGCAGAGGATGGCTAACAACTACAGAATCCCACCAGCCTTCGATGAAAAGAAGTCCTATGAAAGCTGGAAAAATGAAGTCGCCATTTGGATTCGGGTTACGGACTTGGAGAAAAATAAACAAGCGCTCGCAGTGGCTTTGGTGCTATCTGGAAGAGCAAGAGAAGTTGCGATGGAAACATCGGTGGCTGATTTGAATGAAGATGACGGAATGCAGACGTTACTTTGAAAACTTGATTATTTATTTCTTAAAGAAGAAAAGGACCGTGTTTATGAAGCATACACTAACTTCGACCGAATCATGAGAGACGGCAACGTGTCCATGGAGGACTATATCAATGACTTTGAACAGAGATACTTGCAGATGCGGAAATACAAGAGGGAGCTTCCGGATGCGGTGTTGGCTCTCAAGCTGTTGGATACTGCCTGTTTGGATGCAAAAGATCGACAGCTGGCCCTAACTGCAGGCACAGATTTAACGTTTTCTTCAATGAAATCAGTGTTAAAAAGGATCTTCGGAGGGAAGCTCACGCTGTGGGAATTAATCAAGAAACTGCCTACTTAACAGAACAGAAAAGCAAACCACGCTACTCTTGGAATCAGCGCGATAAACAAAAGGCGTCACTCCCTGGAACTAATCCACTGGACAGGTATGGACGCAGATCAAGATGTGCAGTCTGTCAGAGCACATTTCACTGGGCAAAAGACTGTCCAAACACAGGTGAGCAAGCTAAACTTTCCTATGCTGGTGAGTCAGAGAAGGTGGAGGAGTGCAACATTGCTCCATATACAAAAGAGGCACCCTCAGATGCGGAAATATTTATGACTGAGTGCCTTGGTTCGACAATAATAGACACAGCATGCACCAAAACAGTATGTGGACAAGAATGGCTTGACAGCTATATTATTAAGCTAACTCCAGTTGAAGTAAAAAAAACTAAAGATGTCAGAAGTACACATCAGTAGATCCTTCAAGTTTGGAGATGGTAAAATAGTAAAATCCATCAAAAGGGTAAAGACACCAGCAAATATTGGACAGATTAAGTGTCAGATCGAAACAGAAGTTGTCCCAACAAAAATACCTCTGCTTTTAAGTAAAGAATCAATGAAAAAGGCAGGAACAGTGCTTAACATGGAAATTGACAATGCAGTGATGTTCAACAAACCTGTGAAGCTTGACTTTACCAGCTCCGGTCACTACTGTGTGAACATAATGGATAACAATATGCCATCTAGTCATCATGACAATGTCATAATGGATAATGTAAAGAAGGGTGAAGAACAGATACTGGCACTCACAGAAACAATTACTTCTGCAGAGAAGACAAAAATGCTGATTAAACTTCACAAGCAGTTTGGGCACACATCTGCTGAAAAACTTAGACTGCTGATAAGTTCAGGCAATAAAGACACAGAGTGTAGATCTATTCTGCAAAAGGTGGTAGAACAATGTGAAACATGTCAGAGATATGGCAGAACCAGACCAAAGCCAGTTATTGGTCTTCCACTGGCATCTCAGTACAATGAAACTGTGGCAATTGATCTACATGAACTTAAGCCGGGGCTGTAGCACCTCCATGTCATTGATCAGTTCACAAGATTTAGTGCAGGAAGCATGCTAACCACGAAGAAGTTATCTGAAATAGTTAAACACTTCATTCATGAATGGATAAGTGCGCATGGTCCACCTAAAAAGCTGTTCAGTGACAATGGGGGAGAGTTTAACAATGATGAGGTCCGGGACATGGCAGAGAACTTCAACATAGAAGTAAAGACGACAGCAGCATACAGCCCATGGAGCA